GGCCAAGGCCGCGGGGCAGTGGCCGTTCACCCCGCTCGCGCGGCGAGAGCCAATGAGCGCAGGGGGTGGAGCCTCCGCCGCGCCCCGTCGGCGGCGGCCCCATTGAACCCCGCGCCCCGCGGCTGGCGGCGCTGCCCATTGGTCACTGCCGCGGGGAGGGGCGGGGCTCGCGTAGGCTCCGCCCACGGGGCAGAGCGGCGGGGGCGGGGCGGGGAGGGGCCCAGGCGTCCGGGCTGTGTGCGCTCCTGGTGCGGCCCCGCGGTGCTCGGAGCCCCGCGGGGATCCCCGCGCACATCCCAGGGCAGGGTCCCGGCGCCAGGTCCTGGTCCTGGTGCCGGTGCTCCCGTTCTACTCCCAGCCATAAAAAGGGAGCACTGAAGAAATGGGGGAAAGGCCCTTTTCTCACTCAGCTCCACATGAGAATTTCAGGAAAAGAGGAAATCAGCTTCTCCCGTGCGTGTGCAGAGCTGCCGGGGCCTGGGGCGCAGGGCCTCCTCTCGGGACAGGGCCGAAGCAGGAGGATTTGCTCTAAACGCAACCAAACCRGGCTCATTTTTAATGCAAACATAACCATCGGGTTTAACAGTATCTTGGCTGTTGTGTAGGCACAAACAGCTGCACAAATTGTGGAGCAATGGAAGAATATAACGCAAAATGTGTTCAACCTCTTCGCTTCTGCGAGGCACAGCATAGAAATACATCTAATACCAAACACATTTACTTCAGACCRCATGAGTAAAACAGAACACGTGCTTCTGAGTTGGTTTGTTTTATTAGAACCTCTTCTAAGGCTTTTAACATGTAAATTCTATTTATTGCATTTAAAGAACAAAAACGGAACACTTTCTACYTTTTTTTTTCAAAAATCCTGCTATTTCTAACCCATCTTCAGTGTGTTCATTTGAAAATGMAAACAAAGTAACATTGCATTTAATAGCTGAGACAAACAATGCGAGAAGCTGAATTATCCAAGAACAACGGAGACAACAAAGGGAGAGCGCCTGCYGTCCACACTGCGCGGATCCCTCTCCACCACAGTGAGTACTTCGGGCTCACTTATTTCCACCAAAAAGATGCTGCAATGGAGAGAAGAATATGCTGTGGAAACAAAACCAGGAGAGCACATTAGACACAAAATACTWCTCTGAGAAGCTTAAAAGTGAGGTTATTTTTGCCCCCCTCAATGACACCATTCTTGGCATAAYGCAAGATAGAAAAAAATGAAGTCAGGAAACATAAAGCCTAAGTCAAGCTGCAATGCCTTAGTCTTAATACTGGCATACAATGCAGTTGATATGAATATTTATTTCTTAATAAAACCACACTGTGACTCGTCCACCAGTTACTGAAGTTGTTCATTCTGGTCAATCCAAATTTACTCCTCATGGTAAGATGGTAATAGATATTGCTAAGGCCATGGCAAGCTGGGCCCAGAACGGGCACACCTAATTGCAAGTCTGAATGGGGATCGTCTGCAAATTTAATAACAGAAGGACTTGAAAAACATTGTCCTTAAATATCCAGGTGGTATCACCTGTAACTAGCTCCCACAGGTCGGCTCACAGAGGAGATGAGGCAGGAGACGTCCCAGGAACCATGAGATCAAAAGCATTTGTGGAAACTCCTCCTGAAATGTAAGTCTGAGGCTGCCTGTGCTTGATAAATGAAACGGTGCTGACGGTAAAAACGGCCTGTTCAGTGGCATGATGTTTCTGCTCAGTTTACCGTTTTCTGCAGTTTGTTGCAACATAAACTGCATGAGCTTCTCAAGCAGGAAGGCAGCAAAGAGTCCATAACCATGGCTTGGAGAGTGGCAGGGCTAAAGGGCAGGATGTCACCCTGCAGGGACGAAAAAACCTCCCTGGAGGCCCAGGTGCTCCTGCCAGCTCCTCCTGCCGCGGGATGTAGCTGCCAGTGTCACCAAGTGTGTGACTGGGGACACCAGAGACATGGTTTGAGAGGACCTGGTCATCAGTGAGGTGCTTCGGTGTTCCAGCCTTCTAATCCTGACAGCATTCATGTGATAAAAGCCATACGGATGTGATGAGCTCTCCYCTAAAGTTCCCCCACCTCCAAGACCACCGAGAATGGAACATTTATCAGGAATGGGCATCTTACCACAAGAAGAAAGGACATCAGTGAATGTTTCGTTAATGTTCAGCAAAAGCCCTATCAACTCTGCAAGGTAACTACCTTGTAGAAGCACCTGAACAGACCAGAACCAGGACTGGACACGGTCCTGCCAGCCAAGGGGCTTCTGGGGAGAGTGAACCAGCACCCGGGACGTGCCCTGCCACCCCAGCTGAGGTGTCACCTCACCCACACCCAAACCTGCTCATTTGAAATTCGCTTCTGCTCTGGGTGAGCAAACCCAGCAGGAAGAGTTTCCATCAAAATTCCATAAATACGAAAGGTGACACAAGCAGTTCTCAGCCTTAACCCGGAGTAAGCGAATAACGCGCCGCACGGCAGCGTGTGCCCAGGGCCGCCGCGTCAGCACCTTCTGCAGAACCTGGAGAAACTTCTGCCTTTCGGCTCCGGGCCTGCCCCGCTCCCGGCTCGCTCCCTTGGCTGGGCTGGCTGCGTTTCACCTTCAGCCGAACTGCGTCCTGCGKTTTTTTCCGTGTCGCATTCCACAGGCCCCCCTGTAATGAGGAGCAGCAAAACTGAGACCTCAGCTCCGTGCCTGACACCCCGGTGAGCACCCAGCGACAGACCCGCGCAGCGAGCGACGCGTGCGCGCGTGAGGCTCAGCGAGCTCCTTAGCCCAAATCATTGCAGTTACTGCATTACCGGGGTTGAGATTCCCACCCGGACGTGCTGCAGTCCCCGAGTAATCCTTGCAGCTTTCAGTTTAGTAGGACCAATTCAAACACAGCTGCTGAGAAATAAGCCGGGATTTCCTTGCCAACATTCCTACGGTTACAGCCTATGATAAGGGATGTGAGGACTATACTCACTCTCAGTTTCTTCGGAGTAACTCTGAAAGGAAAAAGCAAGCGAAAAAAAAGGTGTTACATAATGTAAAATTGTATTTAGCAAGAGATTTTTGTTTGCTCGCCTGCTTAAAGAATTAAAATGCAAGTCATACTCTCCCGCTCTGTGATTTTTTTACTGCTATTATCAGGACTTTCTTCAGCGATATATTTCCACCCTTCCTTCCTCAGGGAATTCACAGGCCTAAAATAAATCTTCTTATACTACACTCAGCACCTGCAAAACTCCCATCTTTGGGTGGCCTGAGATGTCCTCTGCAGATTCATCTCAAATAATTAATTTATAGGAGCCATCTTCAGTGACGGGTTGACCACCCACTGTTTTCTTTCCAACTTGACCAAAAGAAGACGCCCAGACCCTGCTCCACTTCTCCTGGTGTGCTTTGCAAGTGGAAAAATGTGCAGGCTGGACCTTCATTCACCCGGACACCCCAAGGTCCCCTGCTCCGTGGACAAGTGCCTCGGTACCGTATCATTCCAGCAACCTCCAAGGCWTCCTCACGATGCCCAGCAAAGATCCGCCCATATTCCCCATGTCCTGCCACCTGCCGCCAGATTTTAAGGATCTGGAGCCAMACAAATGCTGTTTTGCCCCTCTGGATTTTCTGCAACTTACCGTTTCAGATCCCAGCTTTGCTTCGCCCATGCTGTGAACACACCCAGCTCCCGTTCTAAAAGTAAGTCAGATAAATGACAAGTGACTTTACAAAAAAATCACCAGGAAGCAACATTCAAACAATTACCACCAATATTTAAAGATTTTTAGGACCTCTACGCAACAAGATATGCACCCCTGATATATATTTGTGGCTCTTGTTTCAAATTCTCATTAAAAAGGGGACTTACATCAGACATTTTCTGCTTCTCTACTAAAACAAGCAAGCAGTTAGAGGGAACAAAAATATTAATTGACATTGAAAAAGGGATGAGAAGTGTGTCGAGAAAGCTTGCAAAATCCCACGAAGTTATTCACATATAGAGAAGGCAGATAGTAAAGAACCACAGAAGGACCTCACGAGACCGAGAGAAAAAGCAATAGAAGTAGACAGCTAGAAAAAAATATATATATTAGCAGGAATATGAGATGCTTAACAAAATCAAAGTGGCAAGGAGAGCCAGGAGAGAGAAAGACCAGTCAGCCCCTCTCCCAGCACAAGAACCAGATAAAACCATTCGATTAAATTAATGGGAACCAGACTCAAAATAAAGAAAGATGATTTTTCATTCCAACAGAAGTTGACCCAAAAAAGTTCAAAGGTCTTTTAAAAAGTTGCCAAGAAAAGGCCCATGGCTGCCAAAGGAGGCCTGACAAACGCCCAGAGGAAAAGAGCTCCCGGGAGGGTTATTCGCTGGACAAAGCACATCAACCCCAGCAAATCCTCTAAGCTGAAAATAATTAGATGTTGGAGGAGCGCTTGGGGGCTCATAAATGTTTGGCCTGTTTTTCACTTCCTCCTATAGGTAAAAGGAGAAGCATTTAGCGCTTGTGGTAAATGCTAGAGGCAGGAGACTGGGCTAGATGGACCATTGGTCTGAACTACTCCAGGGGTCCTCAGGTTAGAAATCTTTTGTTTCCTATTTTTTAAAAATCACATATATTTTCACCCACAAAACGTGAGCCAAATCATCATTTTTTCTTTCCAGTAATTTAGCTGTGACCAAACCTGGGGAAATTGTGGTCTCTGTGAGAAAGACCCTTAGTCTACACACAGAACCGTGCATTTATTCAGGGAGCAAAGTCAAATTCTGGGGTGCTTTTATCTGCAGAGGAACTGGGAGACCAGTAGCAGAGCAGGGTGCCTACTTCTGGTGTCTACACTGAGCAGTGCACTAAAGAACTGGATGCTGGTCAGGGAAATGGCAGTATTTTAGGAAGGACTGCATGAAACTTAAACCCAATCGTGTGATTAGCTTGGAACAGGTAAATTGGAATAAATTGAGAGTTGATTAGACTATAAGGAAACAACAGAAATGACGTGACACAGGTGGCAAAGCAACCAGAGGATGAGGAGGGGGGGCATAAACACTGCAGGTCACAACCTCGGATCTGGGATTGCCTGTCAAGTCCTTGCAAATATTAAGAATCCCAAATCTCTAGATTACGAACATAGTCCAATTAGATAATGATGATGATGATGATGATGATAAAACAAAAATGTTATACTGCATGAAATGTTGTATCTCAGAGTGTAAAGAAGCCACCTAGAACATGCCTGTGTGCCGGCGCAGGGCGCATTTTGCCACCAGCCTCGGGCTGGGAAGCCCAATCCGGCTGGGATTTGGCCGGAAAAGCGTCCCCAAGCCCTGCCCTGCTGCATCCCCCCGGCGGAGCAGCTCAGCACAGTATTTTATGCAATTTCTTCTGTAGCTGCTTTGCAGTTTATCTCCCTAAGACTCCCTGTGCTCCTATATATAGTAATACCACAAGGAGGAGAACGGGAAGATTCATCTCCTCTGTCTAACAGCACTGAAAGGACACAGCAACTTTCCTCCAAATGTGGGTAATCCTGCTTGGAGCCTGTGTGGAGGAGAAGGCAGCGTGGGGCAAGGAATTGGCCAGCTGGGACATGTGAGGAAGCTTCAGGAGATGTTAGAGAGCGATGCACGTCCCGGGCAATGTTCCCTACTCACGGACCTGTCCATATCTGCCTCTGCTTCATCTTCCACTCTTCTCCTCTTCACTGTTCCTACCATTTCAGCAGTTCTTGTCCTTTCATTTCTTTCCTTGACCTTCAAAACATTGCAAACTTGTTACCGATAACATTTGCCTGGGACTTGGGCAGAAGTTCTCCATTTTATAACAAATTCCAGAGCTAATACACATTAGCATTTAGCAAAGCTGTGGATGTCTATATAATGGAAAACTAAACCCAAAGATGAACGCATCAAATAGTAGATTCTTTGCTCAAACAGAAGACAAGCACTKAGAGGCCATCCAGAGCATAACGCTCAAAGGTGATAATCAAACAGCATCACTAATCAAACAGTATCACTTTACAGGACATTACTCCATGCTTAAAAACTTTAAAAAAGTTAAAAAATACTCAGCTTACAAGCTTGGAACTTCCTTTTTGTGCTTCTTTACCTGCAATTATAAAGTAAAATTATAAAATATTAATGTAAATTATCAATTTGGTGAATATTTACAATGGGGTTCCTCTAATCACATMTATTTTTACACTTTGCCTCCATTTCAGAAGATAAGATTTAGAAATATATTTGTTATATTTAGAAGCAATGCTGAGTTTGCATGTGGTAAGTCGAAATTTAAAAAAAAAAGATCAGTAAATACAATTCTTTCAAAATCAGAATTCCCACCTGTAAAAACACACGGCTGTAACGGTGACTTTAGCTTTCCTTGAAGGAGATGAAGGGTTATATTAAAAGACACAGCAATGAATAACAGGGTACCAGATTAGTGAATATTTCAGAAAATAGGCACTGAAGAATTGCAAGCCACAGCCCTGTGAAGAGCAATCTTTTTAACCTAATTTTAGAACAGGAATATTGTGTAAATATCCAGGGAGGGTGATCAAATACCCTATCAAGTTCTCCAGGGCAGGGAGTGCATTCCCCATGGTTAGAAGCTTTTACATCAACACATGGAAGGTGCRGTAGGAGATGCCACAACACAAGCAAATGGATGCAACAAGGAAATTGCTGGCAAGGAATTACATTTTATACAGGAAAGAAGACTGTAATATCTATAAAATCATAAATCATAAATCAAAGATTTCCTCAGGGATCAATAATCAGTTCAAATAGGAAATGATATGGACRGTTTTCATGGCAGAGGAGGTTGGCTATGGAGTCCCTCAGAGATCTCCACTGCAAATGCAGAGCAGACCTTGAAAATGATTTACTACTGAAGTCACATTTGCAGCTTATACAAAAGACATTATTATCATCATTGCTTACTTAGAAAAAAAATGGCATGTTTTCATTATAAAAATAGAAGCCAAGAGTGTGATGAAATAAGAGGTGAAGGTCAACACCACCAAACACGGAGCAAAGCACAAGCCAGGAAAAAAATGTGTTCTACCTAAGCGCATAGGGGCTCTGGCCGAGCTGCGGGCACGAGGAGGGAAGGCTGGACTCACTGGGTGTTGCTTCAGACCTGCTTCATGCAGGCTTCACACAGCAGGCAAGCACTCCGCAGTGGTTGGAAAGGTCAATGGAAAATGGGCAAGTATGGAAAAGCAATGCAGAACACGTTGCTCAATGAACGCATCAAACCAACGGCACGTGCGAATAGGCTGTGGATTCGCGAGAGGTGCATGGAAAAGGAAGCGGAATTCTCACGCGCTATTGCTCCTCAGGTCAGAGCAGAGGGGCATCACATTCGGTGCTCTGGCAGCAAGTGTAACACGAGCAGCAGATCTGTGCACAAAATTCATCCTGAAATTCATTGCACCTGACGCAAAATGGGCACGGGCAGCAGCAGCTTCCGAGCCTCACGGAAGAGCAGCACAGAGAGCCTCTCTCTTGGGAGGCCCTTCGGAAGCCGGAGGGCAGGAAAAGGTGTGAGGAGCCCGAGGACACGCTCGGCGCTCCCACAACCCTGGCTAGGCCTAGACGGCTCTTCAGGCTGAGCCTGGAAGGGTTTTCCTGGAGCTGCTCCTTGGGGAGCTTCCAGTTGACCTGAGACAGAGCATGTGGTCCCTGGCTCTTAGGAATGGGAAAACCAGGACTTTCCTTCCACACCATTGTTGTTCTATACAGCTCCATCTTCAAAAAAGGACCTTCAGCCTYCCAGGGCTTTTTAAATATGTTCCCAACCCTTCTGGGAGTAAGATGGAAATTCACTGGTTTAGCCTCTGTTTCATCACCTGCAAGTCCCAGAGGCAGCRAAGATGCTTTTTTTAAAATCAGGCGGTGATGGCAGAAACGAGGGGAAAAAAAAAGGAAAAAAGAAAGACAAGAGGAGGCAGCAGTAACTGGAGCAGTGCTGCTGTGGGACAGGAAAGCAAGAGGCGCCTTCCTAGGCCTTCTTGCCTGACAAAGGGCTGAAGTGGAAACCATCAGTGAAGACAAGAGTGTCACTACTCAGAGCCTGTCACAGGCAGAGCCGCAGAGGCACCTGCCTTCCTGCCGATGCTGCTGCTCTTAGCAGACTGGCTGGCCRGGGGCCTAGAAACGGCCTGGGAAAACGTGGATATGTGCAGGTTGTACCCGAAAGCAGCAGCAAAAATGAACCCAGTGACAGAACTCACCGCAGAGCTGGAAACTGTTTCCTTCTCCACGAGCACTAATGGCACACGCTGCAAGGCACTGGTTTGTTGCCCGGATTTAGCCAGCAATTACCTTGCAGACTTACCGAGGCACATGCTCTGCTGAAATGAGTTGGCTTCGAGATACACGGTGCAGATGTAGGGGTAAGGCGTGAGCTGCACGGCCCCGTGTTGGAACCTCACCTTGGCCACTCGCTCCCACTTGCTCAAATCTGAGCGCGACGTTAAGAGGCAGCGCTGACCTTTCAAAGGACRCGGAGGCCCGAGGCTGCCTCCCTGCAAGGCTTCAACAACTGCGCCGTGCTACGCGTCTGTGTAAGGCACTAAATACACTCTGCGGGCACTAACTGTGTGAAAAACACTAGGAACAAAATAGAATATAAAAGAAAAATGTTCATTCTGATGGTACCTGTAGCCTACGTGGAAGATGTGTTTTATTTCCCTTACCCTTATTGGGCTCTCGCCCAGACATCCTCCCCCTGGCAACAACACGCTGGGCTCTTCCAATTCCACCATTAAAACTTTTCTGGAGGTTTCTTAGTGAAAAATCTCCATGCCTACATGGCACGAAGCTTTCATAGAGCTACAGCTAGGAAAGGTTTAGGGAGGAAGGGAAAAATCTGCTCGGTGGTCCCAAAGGAATAAGGGAGTGCAAGCAAAATAAGGCAAATGGAAGAGATTTGTTGCTTCTATTTCTGCACTCCAGAGACTGCATCAGAGATGTGACCGGGACAAGTAACAGCCTAGGGGCTCTGTGCCTTCAGAATCTTGTCTGTACCAGCCCAGCCACCTCTCAATGCAAAAACCACTCTAAGGTGGTTTTCACTTCTCCCAGCCACTTATATATATATATATTTTATTCTATACTATACTATACTATACTATAGAAATAGTACAAGAAAGGATACAGGGAAAGATAGTGAAGTGGTCCGTAGAAAATGGATGCAAATCATTGAGATTTCCGAGGATCACTCGAATTGCTTCCTGCAAACACCAAAAACTAAATGATGAAAGAATATTAATAACACACCTGCAATTCTGTAGCTTTAATTTTAAAGTAACTTTAGAGTTTGCATGAGTGCCGGAATAGCTCCCAGACACACAGGAATTGCCCTTCCCTTCCCTCTCCCCATCACGCCACAGCTTTCATTTCTCCCAATTTATATTTGTTAGGACTTTTTTAAATATTTCAAATAAAAGCGTTCTCCTTTTCAAGGTTAATTCTGTGTTTTGAAGAGAACAAAAGATTTATTCAGCTTAACGTTCAGCTAAGGCCCCCTGGGGCTGCTTCATATCCTACCTCTAACTCCTTGGCAGCGTTTGGGGCATTGCCTGGATCATCAGCGCTGCGGAACAAGCAGAGAGAGWGAGTCCCCACCTCAGCCCAGGAGCGAGAGCTCCAACCACTGCAAGAGTTTACACAAGAAAACATCAAAACCAGGGAGCGTTCTTGTTACCTAGATAAAACAAATAGCACATGGGTGAGTGTTTTAAACTTTGGGGACAGGTCTGTCATTCTGCAGGAACTGTTTCCTTTGAGTTTTCTGTGTTTTCTATGTAGACATAACGCCCGAGAGATCGGATCTTTTCAGCTCCCAGAACCACTYGGATGGCTTTCTGGCCAAGCTGGACTCAAACTAATGCATCGGTACCTACTGCTGTCCCACTCGACTTAAGGTCTACAAGAAGTCTAAAAGAAGGCAGATCTTTTGTCTCAGCTCCCTCCACAGTGCAGAGACGTAGGGAAACTGGACTTCCCAGCACCGGGGTTTGTCCCCCGATGCCGGGAGGCAGGGACTGCCTGCACTGAACTTTGCTTCCCAGCTATTAGCTCTCCCCTCTCGGGTCAGCAACAGTTTTTGGCTGCTAGGCATTAGCCAGCAACAAAACACACACTGAGAGATAAGTCTGAAAATAAAAAATCAGAGTCCACTCAAAAGTAAACAATCACAACAGAGATTTAGAAAAAAACAACTAATAAGTCCGTGCTTATTGGGAAATAAGTAAGCAAGGTGAAATGTACTTATGGGCTGAGGCTGCCCGTGAGAAGCCAGACTGAAGAATAAAGTGGCCTGGAGTTGTGCAGGGGACAGCTCCAGKTTCTGGTCCCGACACTCCCAGGCTCCGCTTGGCAGCTGGCAGGACCCTAGAGCTGGTTTCCCAAACGGCAGGTTTTGCACTTGGACAGGGCTTTCCCATYTCCTTTCCAGGCCTAAGCTGAGGGAAGGCTGGAGATGCCTCACTCGTGGAATCTTTAAAGGGGAAGGGACCTGTGTGAGGAGGCACGGACAAAACCCTGCTGGTCCTGCTGCCCACGGGATTCCTGTCATACGTAATGGGGATCATGAATTACCAAGACCCCAAGGTAAATACCAGCCACCASATACCTATTTTACACATGTTCAATACAATCCTGATCCGGCCTTCATTGCTTAAGTTACCATTAAAATTCTAGTAGAAGAAAATGGAAGTTGCCGAGTTGACAACTTGCAAGCCAGGCAACGTGCGAATCCAAACCGCAGTTACAAACCCTGCAGGAAGCTGCAAGGATCCTSGTATTTGATGGGCACCACCCCATCAGCGCTGAGAATTTGGGGACACGGAAAAGTGCTTCCTATTCTTCATACCATCCTTCTGGCTCTCTCTTCACAGCAGCTTCTGCAACTCTGTTTCTCAGACTCCAAAGCCTGACGTGGAATTTATACCTGAAAGCTCAGGCGGGCTCTGCTGGTGCTTGGTGACACTGCCCACTGCCTCCTGGCTGCTGGTGGGGCAAACACATAAGTACCAGCCTGACATCCCTCCAGCTTCCTTTGCTCTGTGGGTATTAGGCTCTACGACCAGTCTTTAYGGTCCAAACGAGAGAGGGAGGCTAACAACAACATGGCAAACCCGAGCAGCTTTCTCGTCACCAAGACAAACCGACTTATCCCCACCAGGGTGCACGTTGTGCTCGGCTGCCGCGCAAGGGCTGGGCGCCAGAGTCCAGCCTGGCACAAAGCACATTACTCTAAAGCCTGACGGATTTGCCTTGCTTAATGAACACAGTGAGGGACACCGTCCCATCGCCAAAATCTCATTTCACATCCTGGATGAGACACGCGCAGCAAGAAAGGCCGATGCCATCTTGGTCTGCCCGGCTGCCAGAAGATCTGCAGGCTGTGGCCAAGTGCTCTGCTTTCCCTGAGGAGACCAGACGCCTTCAGGCTGCTCAGGATCCCTTTGACAGCCCCGCACACGCCACGGGCAGCGCCTCTCAAGGGGGTGACACTGAGGGAAAGGGGCTCTTCATGGACGAGGAGCATTCGGGGATCTTCTGAGCACTACACTGTGCCACAAGGCAGGCAACGCGTTTCCCTCTCCAAAAACAACACGGAAAACAAAGCAACGAAAAGGAGTAATCCTCCTGAATCAGAGATTACTCCAACAAAGTTTTGTAATTTGGAAGCTTGGAGACTATTCCAACAAAGTGGCAATCAAATGTTACTGCATCCCCAAATGAAACCATGCTGCAAACTTCCAAACTTCCATTCCTACTTCTGCAAGGGAAATATCAGGCAAGCGCTGCGTGCGACTGAACGTGGCCTTAGGGACAGCCTAACTGACAGGATAATTGCAGCACGTTCTCCTTAATTCTGCTGCAGAAAACAAATGACTTCCACAGCGAACCTGGGCTCTGGCAGTGCCTATGCAGAGCTCGTTACCCACGGAGGGAAGAAGGAAACAAGGAAAATCCTCAGGAGGAACATGGAAAATCACAAATAACCCGCTCGGAGGGGAGGCGCTCGGGGATCGTTGCTGGTGGCGCCTCAGCCCTGCGTTCCCGGCGCGTCCAACGCGGCGCCGGGGCGGCCCAGCCCCGCTCCCTCCCGTGCACACGGGGACACGGCAGCTCGGCGGGCCCTGCCACCCTCCGGAACGGGATGCGAGCTCAAGGAGGTGCCAAGGGAGCTGGATCTGAGCCCCTGGGCCCTCACGTTATTGCCAGAGGGTGACGGCGACAGAGCGTTACCTTTCAGAGCAAGTTTGAGACCTACAGGATGCTGCTTGGCAGGACACACACCCTGTAACCACCTTGGGCTTGGTTATTACCCTTAGACCTGGGCAGCTCCGAGCCCTTTCGTCCAAGAAGCTCAAGCTGAGCTGGTTCCTAGAGCCCTGGGGAATCCTCTCGAATTCAAAGCCTGTTGATTCGGCTGCCCGAGCTGTGGCCCGTGCCTGAAGCATCATCTCATCTCTCTGCAGGTCTGGCGAGCAGCTACCAGCAGGTTTCCTCTGGAAAAATATTATTTGGCCTCTGGAAGGTCAATTCTCTTCCCTTCTGCTACATCTTCCCCTCCCGACCAGACTAAACTAGGTTTAGCTCTAGCCCTGCTGTCTGCTAACCAGAACCTCACCACGCAGCTGCTGCCTCCTATTTGCCACCTTTTCACCCCAAAAAGCCCCTTGCAGGCATGAGAGACGCCCTGCTCAACCCTCCCGCCTTAGAGCCAAAATGTCCTGCAACAACCGCCAGCCCAACGGCCCCCAACGGGCCGCGGGGGCCCGAGGCGGCGGCGCCGGCCACGCTCACCCGCCCAGGTTGCCGTAGCGCATCCTGAACTTATACACGAGGCGCCCGGCGTGGAAGAACCGCGTCTCCGGCAGCGGGTACGAGAACGGCTTCAGGGCCATCCCGGGCTTCTGCTCCTGGAAACCTGCCTGGAAAGCAAGGGAAGCGCGGTCATGGCTGCTGAGCTGCCCAGGCCGCCCCCGCAGGCCRCCCTGTCCCCCCGTGCCCCACAGCCACCCAGGGGATCCGCATGGAGGTGACTGGGCTTAAATTACCAAAACCAGACACGTTTTTGCCCCCAAGCCACCTGCAGGCTGCGGGGCAGGGCGGAGCGGGGCGGGCAGGGCCCGGGGCCGCAGCCTCGGCCGGGCCTCGCGCCGCCGCCTCAGCGGGGCCGCCGCTTCCCGCCCTCCCGGCGGCGCCGCCTCCTGCTCCGGGGGGCATCTCTGGGGGGCCAGGACTCCTGGATCACCCCGGGAGCCCACTGTGGTGTTAAAAAAACCCTGAGCTGGGCTGTTAAAGCTGCTTTTGGGGCACAGARACAGTCACAGGATCCCAGAAYGGCTGAGGTTGGCAGGGACCCCCAGGGATCCCCCAGTGCAGCCCCAGCTCCAGCAGGGACACCCAGAGCATGGGGCACCCGGTCACATCCRGGTGGGATGGAAGATTCCCGGAGAAGGAGCCTCCCCAGCCTCCCTGGGCAGCCTGGGCCAGGGCTCAGGCACCCTCACAGAGCAGAAGTTCCTCCCACCTGCAGATGGAGCTGCCCGGGTTTCAACTTGTCCCCATTGCCCCTTGTCCTGTCACTGGCCACCACTGAGGAAGAGTTTGGCCCCTTCCTCCCTACRTTCCCCCTGCATGTACTTATACATGTTAATCAGATCCCCTCTCAACTTTCTCTTCTCCAAGCTAAACAGGCCCAACTCACTCAGTCTCTCCTCATATGAGAGATGTTCCAGTCCCTTAATCATCTTTTTCACTCTGTGCTGGACCCTCTCCAGAAGCTCCACGTCCCTCTTGTCCTGGGGAGCCCAGAACTGCACCCAATGCTCCAGGTGCGGCCTCCCCAGAGCGGAGCAGAGGGGCAGAATCACCTCCCTTGACCTGCTGGCAATGTCCTCCTGATGCAGGCCGGGATCCCATTGGCCTTCTTGGCCACGAGGGCACTGCTGCCCCATGGTTAACTTGGTGTCAACCAGGACTCCCAGAGGTCCATCTCTGTGGAGCTGCTCTCCAGCAGGTCGACCCCTAATCTGTACTGGTGCCTGGGGTTATTCCTCCCCACGTGCAGGACCCTGCACTTGTCCTTATTGAACCTCATGAGGTTCCTCTCTGCCCAACTCACCAGCCTGCCCAGGTCCCTCTGGATGGCAGCACAGCCCTCCGGAGTGTCGGCCACTCCACCCAGCTTGGTGTCATCTGCAAACTTGCTCAGGGTGCCCTCAGTGCCCTCGTCCAGGTCACTGATGAACAAGTTGAACAGCACCGGGCCCAGTACTTATCTCTGTGGGACACCACTGGCCACAGGCCTCCAACTGGACTCAGCCCAATTTATTACCNTCCCTCTGGATGGCAGCACAGCCCTCCGGAGTGTCGGCCACTCCACCCAGCTTGGTGTCATCTGCARACTTGCTCAGGGTGCCCTCAGTGCCCTCGTCCAGGTCATTGATGAACAAGTTGAACAGCACCGGGCCCAGTACTTATCTCTGTGGGACACCACTGGCCACAGGCCTCCAACTGGACTCAGCCCAATTTATTACCACCCTCTGAGCTCAACATTCCCATGGGAGCCAGCAGCACCCATTTCCCAGTGCTGCCGAGGCAGCTCCCCAGTCGCCCTTGGGTGACTCGCAGAGCTGCCTCTTTGCTCCTTCTCCACACGAGCACTGAGGATGCAGCGCCCTAGGAAGTCATGGGGACGGGAGGAGGGCCACATCACAGGGGCTGCGGTGGCCCTGCTTGTGGCCTGGTGCTGCTGGCCGCGTGCCATGYGGGGCCCAGCCCAGCCAAGTGTCCCCTTCAGCGCCCTCCTTGAACAAGGAGGGTTTTATTGGGTGCCTGGAAGGAGGGAYGGGAAAGGGGACAGGAAGGGGCAGGAGCGGCTCCCAAAGACGCGCTGTGCTGTGCGGCGCATGGGGAAGTCACATCAGCCTCACCACTCGCTCAAGCCAGGGCTGGGTGCAGGGGGGCCCCGCAGGCCCTGCGGTTGCCCGAGGCCCCTCAATGGGCCCTGGAGGGGCTGGGGTGGGGGCTGAATGCGGCACACGCGGCCGCACGCAACCAGGACACCATGGCGCTCGGCTTTGCGGTGCCGCTGCTGCTCGTGGCCACCTGGGTGCTGCCGTGTGCCGCCACCCGCGCCGCCGCCTCCTGCACCTGCTCGCCGCGCTCGTCGCCGTCCTCGCCGGCTGCTGGCTGCCCTTCCCCTGCTCCAGAGCCTCTCGGTGCTCGCCGTGCGGGGCTGCCGGAGCTGCCGTGGGCGCTGCTCGTGCCCCTCTCCCGCCTGCACCCCTGCGCCACCCGCCTCGCCTACCCCAGCAGCCGCCTCAACCTGCTGCTCTGCGCCTTCCTCGACAACCACTTCTGCGCCCAGTGCCGCCTGCGGCTGGGGCTGCGTACCTCCCCACGGCACCCTGCAGCAGCCGCCTCGGTGCCCAGCGGCACCCCGTAGCGCTCCGAGGTGCCCTCAGTGTCACCGCGCAGGACGGGGGCTGCAGCCTGTGACGGGGCCCTGAGCGCCCYCTCCGCCCCGTCCCTACCTCCCCGCGGCCGCCGCCACCTCCGCTGCCCCACGGCCGCTGCCCGTAGCAGCAGCTGCTCCGGGGCTGCGGGAGGGCGCGGGACACCTCGGGGCAGCCGCGGGGGCGGCGTGGAGTGGGGCCCGGCCCCGACATGGCCGCCCCGCGCGGGGCTCCCGCCGCCACCTGGAGCCTTGCAGGGAGCGGGGCCGCCAGGAGCGGGAGCCGCTGCCCGGCAGGACGAGGCTGTGGCTGCGGCAGAGGCCCCGGGGGGCTCCCGCCAGCCCCGGCTCCCCAGGCCCCGGGGCTGCCCCACGCACAATGAGGCGCCTCRGGAGCCGCCGGCCCCGCTGCGGCACCCGGGGCTCCCCTTCTTCCCCTCACGCATGCCCCGGGCCTGGGGCACCTGCCCCTGCTGCCCTGCGTGGGGGCTCTGCGCCTGCTGAGGTGCCCCAAAGTGGGTTCAGTCACTCCCGTCCCCCTTGGGACAGGGAAAGGAGGGGCGAGGATGGAGAGCTACATGGGGAAGGGCACGGAGAGGGCCCTGCTGGAAGGGAGCCCAGGGCTGGAAGAGCCCTGGCTGCTGCTGGAGCCCCCGCACAGCAGCGCGGGACCCTCTGTGAACCCCGGCGATGCTTAGAGGGGACTCAGAGCAACTGCCACCCAAGGAACGTGCGGCTTGGAGGAACCGGGACAACCCGCTGGTGGGGAAGGCCCCGCGGGACCCCCGAGATGAAGGGCAGGGCTGAAGGAGCAGCCGGGGCCTCGGCTTGTCCCTGGGCTCCGGGCGGGCGCCCRGGCTCCGTGGAGCTCGAACGCGGCCCTGTGGCGGGGAGGCTGCCGCGACGCGGGGAGCCCCGAGCGGGCCCTGCGGCCCTGTCCTCCTAGGCGCTTGCAAAAGCATCAACAAAAGCTGTTAGAAACGCTAACCAAAAGTTACCAAAATAAATCAAACAAGTGCAGAGAAAGACTGGAGGGAAGATTGAGAATTATTTTGAGATTAATTGAGAATTATTTATTAGCAGTTAAAATTTTCTGGCTTACTTTTCCTAGCGCTATGGAAGGTGAGAGGGGACAGTTACTTTCACCAGCACAACTGAAATGTAATTCCAGGGAAGAAATGCAAGTCAGTTAAAAATATCTGATACAAGATCAAAGAAATTAAGCGCCATAAAGTTACACCTGGAAAGTGGAAGTTTCCAGGGAACGAGGGAACAAGCTTTTAACACCTCTCTAAGAGGAGGMGTAGGATGGGATGGTTTTGGGAAGCTCAGGACATGTGCCAGAAGAGCTGTTTTCCCTGTATTGTGCACGCCTTGCGTTACCTCTGAATTGTATTTTAATTAAATCTGGCCCTTCAGAACTTCTGCTRGTCACCTGGAACACATGAAGATTTCTCCTCAACTTGATAGACGGTCCTGTTTCCATAGGAGTCCTGCTGCCCTGGAGCACCCCAGGGCAATCCCATTCCCCAGCACCTCCAAGGGAGAAGGCTGCTGTTACTTGATGACCTTGATTCATGAAATGCACCTTCATGTGAGTAACACTGCTACTCTGTCCAGTACAAGTGTACTAGGGGCAGGAAGGAGGTTAGGAAGGCGACTTCTTACCTTTAGGTATTATAAGACATTGAGGACCATGTCCTAAATGAAAGTCCTAAATTCTGTGCWATTGTAAGGACCTGGCACACAATAATAAACATTTTCCTCCTTTTCTTCTCTTTTCCTATGGTTTGTCAAACTTGGGAGTTCTTCAGTACTTTAAGCTTTAGAGCTTGAGGTGTTCTCTGCAACGCGTGTTTAACTGGGGAGCATTTGCAGAGCACAGTGAGATCTTCCACCATGTGGTGACCCCGGTGGTCTGTCCTGTGTCCGTCCGCATCGCGGTCGCACGGCCTTTCCGCAGACCCGGGCTGGGCAGGATGGGGCTGTGCGAGCACCAAGTTCACAGACGTTTCGTCCAGCAGAGAATCTCAGCGAGGAGAGCCAGGCGACGCACTCCAACCGAGGTATCTTTGCTTCAAGAGTCTGCCAGGAGCTGGGCACAGCTCCCAACGGGGAGGAGGCACGGAGGAGGCGTCCCCGTCGCCGAGCCGAGGCCAGGTGGGCAGCGACGCCGGGCTCCAAACCCTTGTGCTCTCCCCAAGATCCCCTGGGAAGAGCAAGCTGCGCAAAGCAAACAAACCTGAAGGAGTGACCTTAGAACAGGCAGTCACTTTATTTTCAGCTGGTCAAGGGTTTCTTCTCTCCTTGCAAATTATGCCTCAGAGAAACAGCAGCAAAAACGTGCAGTAAGGTCCCTGCTAGCAAAGAATGTGAACTTTAGCTCTTTCTCCTTCTGAGGATCACAACKCACCACTTGCAGCCCAGCAGGCATCCTTCAAAGCGATCCTCATCCTCAGATGACGAGGATTTTGAATCACTCCACCTGCTTACAGAAGCCTGATGTTCAGGAACTTCACTGCACTAACACTATTTCCCCCCCAGCTTTGTCAAAACCCTCAGGATTTCATCCCGTCTCCTCATGCTCACACAGAAAACGTTCCCATCTCACCTATGTAGCTCAAAACCTGACCTTACCTTCTCTAGCCCAAGTTGGTATCTCAAAAATCTATCTTCTCACCTCCTGTTCCCTAACTCAAAGACTCAGTAATTTTAAGTTGTCAGATTCTTCCTTGAGATAATCTACGAGGCAGGATTTTCCCATCTTCTGGGGTCAGCACATCAATGTATTCTAGATACAAAAAGTGTACTCGTACTTTCACCTCACTAAAACCCTCAGCACCCCTCCTGTCATACCAGGCACAGTTCCCATTTCTTTTAAAAATAAATATTTATAAACAGAAGGAAGAGAATTGAACTACAATGTTAAAAACGTTCCTGCCAACAGCACGGATGTCTTTTTCGGGTACAGTCACAAGAACAGGTTGTACACCAACACAACAGAATTACAGTCTAACGGCCTCTGCTCTCGCTGGGTGCCACAGTCCTTCCCCTGCAGGAACTCCCGTGTCCCTGCTCGCAGAAACCAGCTCTGCAAACTGCTCCAGGGCCTGCGAGGGGGCTGCTCAGTCTCCTTTGGTGATGAGGTCCTCGATATACGCATCCAGTTCATCATCTGTATTAATGTCAATGTCCTGTAACCRAAAGCACAAGAAAATCAATAAAGAAGTGAATCTTGAAGGACAATGTAAGGATGGGGGGGGGGGATGGAAATCCTTCCAAACAGCAACCAAGCGTCCTCCGCAGGATCAGTCCCAATCAGTCTTTCTCCAAAGGCACCGTTTTATCCCTGCATGTATCTGCTGTGAAAGCTCCTTTATCACAGCTTGACTGATGGACACAACGTGGCCTACAAACCACACCCCCATTTGATGCTCAGGTAATAAACCTGTAGGGCTAATCAGKGCCAAGTCAGTAATTTTCTGAGCTAACACACACGTTTTCTCAATATTGGACAACTGCTTCCATCCACTTTTAATTTTTCCTTTGGGTGGTCTTAATTTCATTTCTCAAGTAGTGTGGCAGAAATTCCCTTCGTAACACTCTGATACTATCTGCAGAAAACTGCCCAGGAAATTTCTCCCGCACGCTCATATTTCACTAAGTTAAAAAATAGATAGAAATAGCACGTTTAAAGCAYAAGCTATGAAAAAAGTCACCTATGAATATGAATACTTATTAGGAATAGACCTAGATCCCAAAGTGTAGGCAAGCTGAGCAGCACTTCTGATGGTCTGTGCCCAAGTTAAACTGCACCGAGAAGGAGCTGAAGCACAGATAGGACTGAGACTAAAACACAGATTGGGCTCACCGTGGTGGGGAAGGGTTAATGCTGAGGTTGCCCTGCCCCTTCTCACCCACCTCCTGCACTTTCTGCAGCAGAGCCACGATGTTAGTCCTCAGCTTCTGCAGCTTCTCTTCCGTCTCCTTCAGCTTCTTCTCTGAGTTACGGAGATTTTCTTCACAGGCTTTGGCCCGGGCGTCGGCGCGTGTCTGATATGAATTGCACAGGTTCTGCAGACCTACTTCGTATTGCTTGAAATACTCCTTCTATAGAACACAAAAAAGAAGAGAAAATACGTTACCAAGAAAAGAAGGCACCACGTGTAAAGGTAACTGCAGCACATGCCCCTTCCCTGCACACTGGGACTGCACACAGGCCCAGCCACTGCTTTCTCTGCCAGCCACCACTTCACACTTCACATTTCTGATTTGTTTACTATGAGAGAAAAAAAAAAAAAACACATAGCTTTTCCTATTCCCCAGAGGCTAGAGCTGCAACAAAACTGATTACATTTAGACTGGGGATGTAGCATAGTTCAAATAGAGCAAAGCACAACTATGCTGCGGAAGGAGCAGCAGCTTCAACGTGGGGCCAGCTCCTCCAGTGCCGCCCAGCCCAGCCTGCTGCGAGGCTACAACCTCTGCTACGCTCACATTCAAACCTGCAACAGGGCAATGTGTCAGGTGAAAGCAGCATCTCTGCAAGTGGACTAACCAAATCCACACAGAGAAAAGGGGAAGACGCCTTGCAATATATACCTGGGGGGAAGGAAGGATACTTTGGGACTACCAAATATACCAAATCACAGACTGGCACGTTGCATTTTGTCTTTATCACGTCAGCTTGGTCATCTGGAAGTGAAGTGGGCTTGGGTCCTCTCTTCTCCCATTTTTGAGACTGTCTCTAAGTTACATTTATAGATTGTGGGCAAAATTAATAGATGCACCTACATACTACTTCTAAAAGCCTCTAACCTAGAGCGTCTCCTTTAAAAGCTTAGCAAGAAAGGACAGGACAAGATTTCTAGGAGGACAAGAAACCAGGATAGCAGCAGCCAACAGCTTTCTCACACAGCTGCAAGCCCAGAACACCCCTCGGCATCACAGTCTCGTTTGGAAGGATGAGGGCACACACTTCACACTCTCCTCACATGTTCTCAGCTACACTGGTCTGCCAAGGCCTCCAACAACGCTTTGGGAGTGCACCCTTGCACCCACAGGATGCACATTTGCAGTGCGAATGGAGCATGTGCATGTGTGTGTGGGGGGGTGGGACAAAACCCTCCGTTTTAGAGGCGTCCTGGACTCACCAAGGGAAATGCCATCAGCTCCTCTGAGCTCATGGAACTCAGCTCCTTCTTGGAGATGGGAAAATTTGGAGGTAAGAAATACCGCAAACAGTTCCTATACAGGAGAGAAGAAGCCAGAATTTGAGTTTAAAAGATCTGTTTGAAGACCAAGTCAGACAGTAGCAGTTCAGAAGCAGCACCATGAACCCACCGAAGGATTTGCACTAGCAAGTCGACCGTTTCTTGGCTGCTGCTGGGCCCAGTGGTATCTGGTTCAATTCTGATACAGTCTGAGGTAGAAGGTTCAGCTGCAGTAACCTCCTCTTCCTGCTGCGTGTCTGGAGTCTGGTACTCTGGAGAGGGAGGCTTCATCAACCTCACATCCTCACTGCCCTTCTCCACCCTGGAGGRAAGAAAAATCAAGGGGAAGTCACACACCCTTTGCTAAAATCCTGTTCACAGCTCCATCACAATCTTTACAAAGCCATCACCCTAAAAAAAACCTTCTAGATTATACAGCATTTCCCTCCACAGGACTGTCAAGGTGAGAGGCAGACCGTCTTGAGCCTGGAGGGTCCACTCGCTGCAGAGCAGCAGGACGGTCCTGAGGATGTGGCTCTCTAAGAGGACAGCACCAGATTGGTCTTCAGTATCTATGGAAGTGAAAGAGGATCTTCCACCTTAAAGCACAACAAGCCTCCCAAAGCCAGGAGCTAAGATAGTTACCAGCGATCTCTCGGGGTGGTGTCTGTAGGAACATAATCAAACTTCACCTTCCACCGCACCGCGTTCTTGCCCAGCTCCACAGCCGTGACGCGGCCCGTGAACCACTCCCTGTTCACACGCACCTCCACGTGCAGCCCTTTATCTGAAGGGAGGAAGGAAGATGTTCACAGTGTTGGCAAACGTTTGGATTCTGAGAGCGYGTCCTGCATGTTTAGAGCAGACACACACCCTCAACTAGGAGCAGACCTAAACTCACAATAAATCCTACACCTGAAGGGTGATGAACCATAAAAATTCTGCTCCCATTAAATTAAATTCCCACTTTCTCACAAATAGTTCACTAATGAGCTATGAAGAAACATGACATTATCACACAGAGGGTTGGACGTACTGCAGGCCAGGMTGACCTGCATTTTTCAGGCTTGTAGTGGCTGCTAGGACAGTTTTCCAAGCCCTCCTAATGGATCACTTTCCAGGAACGTTCTTGGAATACGCTGCAGGAACTAAAGGAGCTGCTCCAGCAGAAGATACAAGACCATTCCAGCTGTAGTCTTTCCTAGGGGTGCCCCAGCCCTCTTTCACAGCAGTGCAGCAAGTCCAAACACAGCTCTCAGCACTCAGCACTTCCCAGCCAAGAAGCCCACACTCCTGCTCTCCTGCTGGGAAGGGTGAGCATGGTTTGGGTTGCAAAGCATGACCCTACACCACCCAGCCAACTAACACCCTAAATAATATAACGCTGCCCTCATTACAGATCCTGCCACGAGGCGATGGCCTCCGGTTACGTCAAGGGGGTTTAGCCAAACAATTTTGCTTTGTGTGAATTAGAAGAGTCTCAGGATCTGGGATCTAACTTTACATGAAACCCTAATTTAAAGGTTATTAATGAAACCACATGTTTAGCTGGTGACTAAGTTCTGCAACACCCATCCTTTCCATCAGCCTAGATCCTGGAGGGGTGTCCAGGTTCACCTCTCACCTGTCTGAGCCTTCTTCAGCTCTGCTAGCTCTTCTTCTCCTGCGCTGTCAGTGAGCTGCAAGCAGAGAGAGCTCAGATTAGGGTATTCCCAAGCAAGATTATGAGTGCTGTCAAATACCTTCCGCTGGGGACACCCTGCGCTTCTCACCTCCACCACCACTTCGTTTGATTCCTTCTTCTCCTCTTTCAATATCACAATTTTGCCTCGTTTATTTGTCCTCTTCTGCTCCACTTCTTCCTCGGACCCATCTTCTGTGGCATTTAAAGTCCTTTTCCGGGTGGTGGAGGCCTGCTGGAAAAAAGCAAGTTGTAGCTCAGTTCCARTATGCCAACAGCCCAGATATTCCTTTAGTCAAATAAAAGTGTACTCAGCATCAATTATCTCCAGTTGAGAACTCTGGTCAATTTTTAAAGGTTTTGGTATATGCCATGTGACAACAGAAATATTCATTCCCACCATCCCATATCATATTTGTGTGTGGAGAGCCAGTCTGGTCTCCCAGGGAAGGGATGAAACAAGTTTTCAGGAGGACTTTCCTGCCCAAGGAATGTAGCGCTGGGCCCACGTGAGCAGGACAAGAGAGGCCATGCAGAATAGCAAGAAACGAGATGACAGTTTTCATTCCCGGTTCTCACCTGGGTAGATTTGACAGCAGCTGATTTCTTCACTGGCACTTTTGCGGCTTTGGGACTCGATGTCTCACGCAGGCTCTTGGGGCTCTGCGGGACAGCAGAGGGGGACCTGGCTGATTTGGCATGACTTCTGAGGGTGCTGTGGGACTTGCCAGCTGTCCCAGAGACCTGGGCTGTCCTGGAAGTACCGGCCTCCTCCCTGGAGGTGTTGGCCAGTTTGGGAGCGCTAGTGCTTGGCTGAGCTRCAGAACTCCTTTTCTGCTGGCCGGAGGACTTTGGAAGAGGCTTGGATGATGGTGGTCTGCTGGGGGCATTCTTAATTACATCAGGTAAAGGAGGAGATCGTGGGCGCTGYGGTCGGCTCAGTGGCTGAGCGGTCTGGAAGAAACATGGACACAGGAGAGGGAAAAATGAAAATCTGGCTCAGTTTTGCATTACAGGAGAGTAGAGACTACAGTGGTATCACAGCTCTAGCATTTACCTCTCCTGCAGGCTGGGTAGTCACCTCCAGGGGCAGTTTCTTTAAGTCAGCTTGAGATCGAATTGGAGTGGTTTTCTAAGAAACAAAGCAGAAAGGTTATCTTTAAAAGCTCTTAGTACTTGCCTGAACCCAAGCTCTCAAACAGATCTCCAGTCTAAAATCAAGACAAAGTTGTGYTCTGCTGCGCTGCCAGACACATCCTTTCACCCAGGCATCAGCAGTCAACACCTCCTCCAAACATGAAGCCCAAGCTGAGATGCTGCTTTCCTGCTATKAAAACCACCCCACCCATCCCTGTCACACAGCACACGTTGCTGCAGAGGCGGAGAATCATTGCTCAGCAGCATCCGTTGGCGTTAGGAGGTCCCTCAAAGCTCTGCTGTGCCTAGCTGGAAACCTCCTGATTTACCTGCAACGCTTCCAGCTTTTCTTGCTGCTGGCGGATTTTCTCCGACAGCTGCTTCTGCTTTTCTTCTGGTGATTTCAGGTCTTTCTTCAGACTTCCCAGGGGCACTTTCTGCTTCTGCTCTGCGGCTTCACATCTGGCACCAGAAGAATTCAAGACAACCTCAGCAAAGACRGAGCAATCTGCAAAGTCTCACACACACTACCCTGCCTGTGGCAGTTTTCCTTTTACTTACAAAGGAAAGCTCATTGCTAGCTGCTTGCAATTAAGTCATGTCGCACCTTTCCTCCTAAGGCCATAACATTTCTCTTTGCAAAATATCTACAGGGGTATTTGTTGCTCCCCTCACGCGCAGTTTATGACTCACAAAATAATAATAATCTTACTAGCTCAGGTCCTATCAGAATCCTGCCTGGAAGAGACCTTGAGAGAGGAGAGACAGGTAGGAGATAAATGATATTATGGACTCTAAAAGGCTGTTATTAAGGYGTGTCCTTTAAGAGCACAGGCCTGGTGTGACTCAAACCATTACTGACATRAAGCAGAACTGCACCACTGCCCTTGTGCAGCCCGCACCAGCCCGGGGCAGTGCCCGGCAGTGCCACACTGCCGTGATTTCAAACACTCCCATTCCAATGARAAGGCACCATCTGGTAACTTTTCCCTTCGTCTTTAAGCACTGAGCCAAGGCACCTATATGATGGTCTGATCCACTTGCCTCTTTATTCAGTTAAGATATGAACAAAATTCTGTCAGCATCTTTTCATACAGAAAGAAGGAGCCTAGAGCAATCACCTTCCTCAAAGAAAACAGCAGATTCTACCTAGATTTTATATATTTAAAAATGTATATTTTATATATATATATTTCATTATAATATATTTATATAAAAATATGTAAAATGTTGTAATTGTGAAATCTTCCCCTGGTATATGAAGTGAAGTGCCAGTATGACACACGTATGACATGTATGTCACCAATACTCATTCTGGGAACAGTTCAGTCTACAGCTATAAAGTTTTCAGCTACCCCCTTACATTATCCGAGAAGAAGAGGTGACCAAAACACACGGATGAGGAAGGCTGCAGGAAGGCCCTGTGTCGGCCCCCTCTTACCTGTCCTGTTCGGGATCCGGGTTCATGGAGCACACCCAGCTATCAGGGTAATTCTTCTCCACGGAACTCAGCTGGAACGGGAGCGTGCGCCACTTCAGACACACATCTGTGGGAGAGCACGGGGCGGGTCAGGAACCCCTCGCAAGCCACAGAACCCAGGACTTGTATACGACACTCACCAAGCCCAGTTAGCCCTCAGGACAACATTAATTTCCAAAGAGTATCTAATGACAACAGGACTAGTGTAAAGAAAAGGCAGAAAGTGAGACACRGCCCCAGGCCACATGAGTCCATTCCTGCTCAATGATCCCCAAGGGCACCTTGAGGAGGACCTTAAATCTGGGAAACCAGGGAATCCGACCAAGAACCTAAGACCACCAGTGTTTAACCACCTAGGCTAGAGACTTTGGCTCACGGCTGCACTGACAGCTACCCATCCAAAGCTCCATCCAAAGCTAAGAGCCACTTCCAAGGATGCTGCTCATCTCAGGAGGCCACTGCCTCTTCCTGGGTTACAGRAGTCAGATCCGTCCACAGCAGATTTCAGATGAACCAGGTGAACATACAGATTTGGCCTCCACAGCATTACATGACAACTGGGAAGGCACCCGTGTAAAGTAATTTTTGTCTAGAAACTGCAAGGACTCTCAACTCGGACCCTGCAAAGACTTTAGAGGCCCTGGCAGGTGTCAACAGAAGAAAWCTCAGTGAATGGCAGGAAAGTTCCTCTTACTTGAGAGTAACTTGGAAGGGGCTGAGGAAATGGTCAAGACAAGAGAACGTGATAAATGACTGACCATTTCCAAAAGACCAGTCCTTAGATTCCCTGCTACATCCTCATCTGTGGGGCATATTGGATCACAGGAGTTTGGCCTTCACCAAAACAGGAAGGGGCTGCACCAGGACCTCCCTTCTCCCAGAGGTTAAGGGCTCAACAAGAGTCATTTAGAGGTGTGAAAAAACTCACATTACATGTGAAAGGCTACAGTAAATTATTCCCTTCTGTGCTCACATCTAGCATTGCTCAATAGCCCAGTTCATCAAAAAAAWGGAAGTTTTTGATCTTATTTTAACTTGAAATGAGTGGCTTTGGTCAGTTCCAGTTTTGTACAATCACACCTAAAGAACATCACGAATAAGGTTCCTCTCCTCCACAGTTTATGTCARGAGGTCCAAGTGTCCCACCAGGTGCAGCAAAGGGACCTTACAGCAGGAGAGAGGCCCTCTAAGAAGAGGATCTCAGAAGTCTCCTACCAGCAGTGTTCCCAATCTCCACCTTGTAGTTCTGTCCCCGCTCAACAAAGACCAGCCTCTAACAGCAGCCACCCGCCTGGTCGGACTCACCACACTGAATCGTGGTAGGAATTTCCATGGCTCTTCGGCGTTTGTAGCGGAGCTCGCTGGACGGAGGCTGGTTCCAGTTTGCTGACAAATAACCAAATTCATCCCAGAACTTGATGATACCCCTCTGGGCTGCAAAACAAACGAGCAATTCCCCATTCRTTAGGGAGCCATAACCACAAAAAACCATCATCTTCACTCTTGGCTGCCCTCTCCCTTAGCTGTCCCCTTCCAGCTGCCAGAGCTTTCCCTTCCAGTCRCTAGTCACTGCGAAGGAGATGAAGTTTCCCTACCTATGGCAACATCCTTCCAGTACTGGGCCAAGTGCTCTCCCATGGCCTTCAACAAGTGCCGATACTCTTTGGCGTCAGCAAAGTCCTGTTTGTTGTGGGTTGGCTCCAGAACCAAGTAGGGCACGTCCACCACCCCGACCACTCCGCCACAGGCCCTGAAAGCAGATGGACAGTTACCAACATCGCCAAGCCCGGACGAGGCCAGAAGTCTTTTCCAACGTCCAAAGCCATGGGAAGCAATCCTGGAGCAGCAGATTACACCCATGCAGTCACTCATTCCCTTTTTTCACTTATCAGCTTTCTRAACCCCTCTGAGCTGCCATTCTGCAAAACAACAACGTGGGGTCAACTACCTCCTTCTCTAGATCAATCACAGGTAACTTATTGACACCAAATAATCATTGCTCCCTGTATTCATTYGTCAGCCCACGGAGGGAGCGTCCGSACTCAAATACCACTACTGAGCACAACTGCTTCACACTGCTGCAGGTATGACCCGCATCTTGAGGTTTTTTGGCAAAACATCAGGAATATTGGACAATGTATTYAAACCTTTTGTTACACTCTAAATCTTTTCATTAAAAGCCGACAAAACGACGAATGCCTCAAGCTCACAGGGAATGATGATAATTCCTTATAGGAAAAAGTTGTTGCACAGCTGAAGTCACATATAGGAAAGAGTCAGGCTTAAAGATTGCTAAATAAATAAATAAAATAATCTCCAAAAACTCACATGCCACCTTCCAGCTGTGGGCCCACCTTCTCATACATCTTTATCAGTCGACTGCAATTATAAATGAACATGCCATCCAAGTCACGCTGCTCAATGTTCACACCAAAGATAAAATTGAGTTCTTTGGGTTCCTTCAGTGCCCTGGAATAAATCAAAACAGAGCTTCAGAGATGCAACACAGCCACCAGCTCAGGACAGACGCCATCTGTTCAGCTAACTGTTGGTCTGGGTATACCTGTGCTTTCATAAATGGATTTTGGTTTTTATTTCAGAATTATTTTTCAATAATTTAGAAATTTCTAGTCAAATATAATAACACTACGAGGTGCAGACTTACGCTCTCCAATGTGAGGCATGAATTTGGTTAGTATGTTCTAGATGAATGCCTCTACACTGCAAAAAACATGGAAATCAACATTTTGATATAAAATTCCACCCTCAGTATTTAGATTCTGGAGAAGTTCTCATAACTGCAAGTTTCGTAACATATTGCAGCACGTCCCAAAGCTGGGGACTGTTGCACACAGAGGTTTTGCTCTTCTCAGAAGAGCAGCCAGCAGGTTGCGTGACTGCTACCCTGCCCGTTCCACACTCCCCAGCCAGCGCTGCTCCCCGTTCTGCTCGGAGCACAGAGCAGCTTCTGACCTGGCAYCTTCGATTTTCTGGAACTGCACCTGCAGTAATGGAGAAAATCCTGATAGACTTACACCTATAAAATACTTTTTTGTATCACAGAAACCGAAGCGCTGCTCTGTCGCTGACTGTGGTCAAAWGATGCTCCGAGGCTTCTCTCAGGTCCCTGTTGAGCGTTTTCCACAATKAGATTGTTCCAGTGCAGCCTGAAGGCTGCAGCAAACACAAGCCCCAACCTGTATCAATAGCAGGGCACAGTCGAGGCCGCTGTCCTGACACCTCTTGTTACGGACTTCCTATTCCCACTTCTTAAACACCTCAACGCCTAYGTGCTTTATCCCAGTTAGGAACTTGGCCTCGCTTTAAATGATTTATTGAAGATAATTAAAATTCTTTAAAATGATCTGTTGCCTGTTTACTGCAAATACCAGATAGTAAGAGAAACCAAATAGCATATTCACAAAGCACCATATAATAATCTGCAGTTATAAGAGGCAGATCTGTCTTAAGAGTTCAAGTATCTCCCAACCAGTCCCTGAAATACTTTAATTTCACATTTCTAATTTTGTTCTCATAAAATCATTTTCTTGCATGAATGTATATGCAATCCCTTCCCACAACTTCCTTCAAAAGGGAAGGGTTTAGTATAACAGGGCTGATGTGCTGGTTGGCAATAATTTTTTCTTTTTTTTTTTTTTTTGATAAAAGACATCCCAAAAAGCCTGTTTTGTTAGCAGCAAGCACAGTCACCTACCTAGCACCCAATCAGTGATTTCATAAGCAGCTATAAACCCAGAGGTTGTTCTCTGAAGGATAACCAAGTTACTGGGAAGACACCAGCTTTCACTAACCTTAAACTTACCCATTCCCAAAATATGTTTTGAATCCTAYCAGTAGGGAAACGGGGCTGAAAAACATCACTTTGGTCTCACCTGATTGAGGGGGACAGCTTGTGTGAGGGGGGGTGCCAGCAGCTGTGGCAAAACCAGCGACTGTTCACATTCCCACAGGCAAAGGATTCATTCTACTTTTCTAAATTTTGGTGAAGGATATAGGGCCGTAAATTCCATGTAAAGATGTGTACTTGGGAAATCACTTTATCCTCCAAATTTGACCAAATTAAAATTAAAAATCAAATTTGCAATACAAATCCCAGGCAGTTGCCTATGATTATTAGGGCTGTAGTATCTGTTCCATCTGCTGCTGGCATCATCTGAACGTAAAGGGGCTTTGGGAGCCTCAGACAGCATTTGTGCCAGTGACACCCACAACACGAGAGAAACGGTGGGAATCCGTCCCAGGGCATCCCCTGAAACCCAGAACTTACTGGGAATTTGAACCGATACCTGCACCTCTTTCAGGAATGTGTTTTGTTTTCTAGATAAAGTGGATGATTATGAAATAGCCTAACTCTCTAAAAAACCCTCTGATTACCAAAGATGAATGAATCTAAATCTGAATATATAATTTCTCTCTATGTATATTAGAGAGATGTATCTCTCTCTATAGTTTTATCTATATACTTACATATACATATATCTATGTATATTTAGATTAGGACAAAAGGTTTTTCCCTTGTTTGTTTGTTAGTTGCCTACCTCTATTCTCATCACATATTTGCYACTTGGCTAAATACACTCTTTTGGCACCCCACAAGAAGGGTATTTTCCCAACCAAGAGCTCATTTGGATTTTGTGGCTTGCATGTTCTTAGGATCAAGCAGAAAGACCCGTTGAACAAATTTAATCTCCATTTCTCACTCCCGTTATGGACGCTGAAGGGCACACACATGCTGGCCTCAAAGTAAGTTCTGTGTTCACCGTTCCGCTTTTTGAAGAAAAAAATATTTCCTCACTGAAAGAAAGGTGGAAAGCCACTCACAAGCTTTCACTCCATGCAGTAAATAAAAAGCTTTAAAGCTTTTTATTTTATTTTTATTTTATTTTTATTTATTTTATTTATTTTTATTTTATTTTTATTTATATATTAAAGCTTCAAAAGATGAGTTAAGCACATGGAAATGGCAGAAAATGACACCTGAGATTTTCTGCATTCTCCAGGTCACATCCCTGCCACTTCTCAGTTCAAGTATTTTTTTTTCCTCCTCTCCCTGAACATCAGAGGCATCAGATCCCCCTCTAGCAACAAGCCTGGAATAGCTCTGAGCTAGACATGCATGYAAATCAGCATGCAAACCCAAAAGTGGCATATGTGTATACAAATTACATGCAAATCCCGCTTTTTCCCAGGCCCAGTGTTTAAGGGATTGAGCTCCACGCTATGAAATACATAGGAAGAGTCTGCAGAAAAAAAATGCATATAAAGTGAAACATTCCTGAGAGCCTGTGAACACCAAACTTAACTCGTTACAATTATTTCTTTTGATTTCATGGCGTGGCMCATAACAGAATTTAACAAGTTTTTAGCAAATCATTTCTGCAACTCTGAAAGCTACAAAAGAAAAGCTAAAAAGGGACAAAATTCAAGGACTCCATTCAGCCAAAGGGAAGTAGCAAAGGGCAGGGGGAGAGCAGAGCGAGGAGCGCCCTGGTCGCGCCGGCGCTCGCGGCCGCCCTTCCTCACCGCTGCTTCGCGTCCTTCATCCTCCTCTTGACGTCGGCCTCCCTGCGCATGCTGATGGCCGAGTTCTGCACCTGACGCAGCGTCACCTGCAAACGGACGTCACGCAGGAACCCTCAAATTAACCCATTTCTACATTTCAGGAAGACACGGGAGCATTTTAAGTGCAGAGAATTCACTAAGTGAAGGGCAATAATTACCAAYCCTTTACATTTAAAGCGGCACCCGTTGCTGGATCATTTAAACAGCTACACAGTTAACTGAAAGAAAATGCCTATTCAACAGCAACCACAAGGACCAGCGATGGAGCCAGAACATTCAAATATTGCCGTTTCTTTTCCTCTCCTCATTACACCTCACTAAATAGTGAGGTGCTTTKAAGCAAATGCTTCTTGCTGAACCACCCGGCTTTTCCTGAAATCCTTCCTGCCTTCCACCTCCTGGCCAGGTCCGAGCCAAGCCCCAAGCACCTTTCAGGAGCCTGCAGCACCACCACAAGCTCCAGCTCCACGGGGAAGGAAATTATAAGAGAAAAAAAAAAAAAAAAGTCAATCCAAAAGCCCACAAAGTTCTTGCAACAGCTTGAGAAAGGTCAGGAGCAAAGAGCAGCGGCCACACGAGGGAACTGACTCTCTGCTCCAAACCATGGGCACAGCCTTCCCCGGAGCCCGGGACTCCCGTGCTGGAAAAGCAGGGGCCTCACCCTGGATTCCCGGGCCAGGTTCCCTCCTAGGCGCAGTTCCAGCGCTCGGGCTTTRCTCTCTGCCTCTCGAGCCTTCTCCTCCGCTAAAACACAAGGGAAAAAAGGTATTAATCACACAGAAAAGGCACCACGTAATACAGCACTCACTTGAGCCCAAGATTCCCAGAGAGCCCTTGCTGAATTTACACGTACAAGGGAATCCTTGCTGGATTTACATGCGCAAAGGTAACACAGCAAGGTTAAATCAAAGTCTGATGTATGAGAAAGGACATTTTATCAGAGGCTGAGGTCAACACTGGCACAGCAACAGGTCTAAACCCTGCAAAAACAGGTTTAGGGAAAGATCCGTAAGGCGAGGAACTGGAAACACTGAGGATGCAAATGGCCCTGCCTGCTCTGCCCAGACCTCCGAGCGGGAGCGGAGGGGAAAATCTCACACCAGGTTCAGACTCGAAGAGGAGGCGCAGGGAGAGGCTGGGCGCTGGGAAGGGACCGCGCGGAGAAGCAGGTTTATTTTCCATAATCATTTTGCCCGAGGGAAACCAAATTTAGGTTACACCTAAAATAGCACCTAGTGCTCTGAAAACCTACTGCTCTGCTCTTCAAGTTTACCGCTTTGAGAATTCCTTCCTCGTTTCTCTTCCAGGCTATCAAAAACACCCCAAAGAAGCCTGACACGAGGTATGCACCGATCCTGCCACTTGGAACAGTCCCTCAAAACTGCTCCCGGGGAAGCGCATCCCTCCCGCAGCCCTACCTCCCAGCCACAGGAAGGTGGCAGCAAGGCTGCAGCCACGGCTAGGAGCCCTTTCCCTCCCAGCTGGTTCAGCTGCAAGGGAAGGAGGCCAAGGGAAGGAGGCCGGGGAGCAGCGGCCTCCTCACAGCTCACTCCACCGAGCTTTACCACTGCCCCGTGGGATTTCTTCATCAGGAATGGGAGAGGCTGCTTTGTGGGGGAGTTTTATGCAAGTTTAACGAAGTTATTTGTTGTATTTTACATGCTTACGTAATAACTGTATGCTAAAATATCCAATAATGTCATTTTTTCCCCCCTGAACACTACAGAACTTGAGAAGATTGGGCAGACAAAACACACGCCTGGAAAAGAAAAAGCAGGATGCCCGTGTACAGGCAGAACAGTCACCGTATCAACAGATAAAATACAAACCTAGTTTTGAGTGAGGGCCTCACCAGGGAAGGAGCAGACAAAGAACAGGAGGAAGCTGCTGGTGACAGACAAAACGTGAGGGCAGAGCCAGGGCTCTGCAAGGCTCCGGAGAGCAGGGGCAGAACCCGCAGGGACCGTCCCGGACAGCTCTTCCTCAGAGGAAGCGCTCCTGGGGAATGATGCAAGTCCTCCCAGCGCACTAAGGCCAGCTCAGCAGGAATTACGTACACACAGACTTCCGGAGCATTCACAGCCATCAGAAAAACAAACAACTCGGGTCCTATCAGCCACGTAGCCTCTTCCTCCGCCCTTCTTTCTCCAGGGTAAAGCCAGGATCCCTGCACGGCCGAGGACTCACCGATCCTTGCCATGTGTTCTGCTTTCTTCACCTCCTGCTCCGCACGGGTCTTGAAGCGGTTCGAGGTATACTTGTACATCCTGTGACAACCAGAACTCATTACTCAGCAACACCTCAGCAGCCAGGCCACCCCACGACTTCATCGTCCCACCGGGGAAGAGCGGCTCCCAACGCTGCTCGACCCTTCTCCAAAGGTTCAGGAAGGGGAGAATGAGGTTGGAGTAACTGGCTGTATTGGGAAGCGTTTAGCCAAAGTTTAAGGCAGAGAKGCCATAGCAATAACGGCCACCACAGCACCCTCCATTTTTCCAGGTAAGCTGGGTGCAACATATCCCACGTTCCTGTAGAAAACCCCAAGGGCAAGAGGAACAAATTCTTTAAAAGTGGCAAGGTGGAGTGACTGTATCTGGAGAGCTTCTCCAAGTCCTCCCCTTGCCGATCAATAGCCCTTTCTCCCTCAAGCAACTGTCCCACTGTGCAGTATCGCATCTCCAGCAGCACCTCTCAGCCCTGCAGCTCACCTCCAGGAAGAAGAGATCTCCAGAGAAAACTGAGCAGAGAACTGATTTCTCAAGAGTTACATCCCAATCGGAAGCGGCATATCCTTTAGCAAAGGTGGGAGCAGAGCTGCAGGCTCCAGCTCTAACATTTCAGAGCGCTCTCCCGCGCCCCACAACCTGCCGACCACCTCGGAGAGCGCGCTGCAGTTACGTGGCCTTCCCTGATCTTGCTAGATCGGGACAAACAGAGATCCTGACCTAACTGGAGGCATCTCAGAGYGAAGGAGGAAGCCTCGGAAGAGGCGGAAGACCACGAGTCCATCCCAAATTCCATCCCCAAAAAAGCTCTATAGAAAAAACCCTCTCCAGGCCATAGTCAAAGCGATGGTCACTGGAAATGCTTCTACAGCAATGGGGAAGCCTATAGGGCCATAAGGCTTTACTGGCCAGCTCGCTGATGTCGTAAGGATCACATTTAGATGCCAGTAGGAGACAAGATCTCTCCAAGCTGCAGATAATCCATCTGCAGATACTCACACTGCATAGGAGTTAGGTATTTTTCTACAGGGGGGTATTGTAGATCCAGATGTCAATAGTCTCATTATCAGAAAACCTCTATCCTTCAATTCAGAAAATTCACATCATAAACGGTCAACTTGGTTACATTTGTGCATCTAGTGCACGATTTGAGCAATCTGGCACATGAAAGCTGTGTTAACTGCAATGTATTTTCTGCTATTCCTAAGGCCCTGCATATTGGCAAGATAAGCAGATGGGCACCAATTCTTCCAAGAACTATGAATAAAAGCATGTCAGGAGAAGGAAAATTGGGCTTGGGGTGGTGCAATCTCTTCAAATCCACTTAAGGGTGATTTATACTACCTGGGCCAAGACACAGAACGTGTCCTGAAAAGCAGAGCTGCTTTCAACAAGTTGGCACAAAKAAATTACCTCATTCATAGCCAGCCTCCCTGAGAACAAACAGGAGAGACAAGGCGAAGATGAGAGGTCCCAACATGCCCAGCTCCCGAGGCAGCAGCGCGCCGAGCAGAGCTGCAACCAGCCCCTTCCCACCGGCACRTGGGAGCAGCGCGAGGCAACGGGAGGTGCCAGCAACCTGGGCCAGCACCCACTTCACTCAATAACCCAGTAAACTGGGCAGACACCAGCAGCCCGTAGACCCGACTCCACAAACGTCATCCCAGGCACCGACCACGTCAAGAGGGAACAACCCAGACATTAGTGTTTTATGATCTCTCCCAGTGCCAAGGGCATCACAGCCAGGAAAGGCTGTGTCCAAGTGGTTTGGAAGAGTGGCTGGAGCGAGCGAATGTGTAAACGAGATCCAGCTTGTCTTGTTTATCTTGCCTGCTAGGCCAGGCTACTGCCCGGTGTGACAGACACCGCGTCCTGCAGACGCTCACGACAAGTGTCCCAGCACGTCCCCTTCGCGAGGCGCCTGCAGGCGCCCCAGGGAATCCCTGCGGCAGCCACGGGAGGCAAAGGAGCAGAGAACGGCAGCAGCACCGGGCGCCCGCTACGGTCCTGACCATGGAGTTATCTGGAAACAGCATCAGGGCTGACGTGCAAAGTGGCCTGACTGCAGCCAGCTGCACGGCTGAAGCTCTCACGGTAAGGGGAGGAGATGGAAACCCCTCTGAACTGCAGGGCAGCGGGGAGCAGCCTGCCACGAGATCAGCTTGTCCCCAGCACCAGAACAGCACTGAGGTGCTAACGTCAGGTTAGCACCTCTCTCTCTCAAAAAAGAATATATGTATAAATCAGAGTTGTTATGTCAGTTCACGATAGCTGTATTACTTGTATTAAATGGCAGAGCACTCAAACCCCAGCAAGTAGATGTATATGGGAAGGCATGAGCTCTAGTTTCAACTCTAAGGTGATGATCCAGGCYTAAGCAGCCTTCCTCACCAGGTTCAGAAAAAAAAAAAACCTAGGAGATCATGCAAAAGCTGCAAAGAAACAATAATTTTGTCCACAGAATGGATTGATTTGTCTTTTCTCCTGAATTGGGTCCTCAGGAAGAGAACTCAAGGCACAATAATTTCTGCTCATGCATCTGTAGCAGRAAGATGGAGTCTTGACAAGCTGTGTGTGGCGCGAGGTGGGCGCCTACCAAAGGGCCGTGCTGGTCCTCAGAACCAACAGTGAAGTGTGAAGGTGCCCGTGGCTCATCCCAGTGACCACGTATCTTCCGTAGCCCATCCTGCATGAGGAGGAGATCAGCAGGAAGCTTTGGCACCCTGAGCAGGAGAGCCTGGCAGGGTTTGTCGGCCTCCTGCAAAGCCCTGCAGTGTTCCCCTCAGCCCTGGTGCTCCAAATGTAACTCACTTTACAGCCATCCAACAGGAAGGTGCTACGCTGCAGTAACAAGGAAAAGCAGATCCAGAAGTGATGATGGGGACCCTGAACAACTGCTGCTCAAAGTGTCTAAAAAGACAGTCTCTTTCCAAGAGAGAACAGTTCTAAGGGGCAGAACAGAACCAAAACTCGGACTCCTTTGCAGGCATCCACTGCCCAGCACTCCTAGGGAGACAAAACTGGCACAGATGAACCTCTGGTGTGACCCAGGACGTGTCACATTATCGTGAGAGCGCAGGCAGCAACCAGGCAGTGATGAAGTCCTGTCTTTGCATCTCAGAGGCCAGTCTCTGATGAGGTCAAAGCCTCTGTCCTCCTCCTCCACTCTCCCTCCCTGGTGCTTTTTGGACCATGGCATAGAATAAAACCAGCCGAAACTCAAGAGCACAAGAGATTCCCTACCCAGGAAAGGAGGATTTGAGGAGCAAATCATGCTGGACCAGTGTAACTGCCCTCTAGAACAAAACGACCGGCCAGGTCAATGTACACGCAGTGAGGAGCTGTGCATGTAATYCCCCTCGCCTCTTAAGGTTTTGATATTGGTTTTCCACATCCTCATTTAAGAAGCTGGAGAAATGAGAATTTGGGAGACCACTAAGTAAGCTGAAAATTGGCCAAGCTCAAAGGATAACTGGTGGTTTGACATCTGATTGTGGTCAGTGTGAGTGTGGTCAGCCTGCAGGCTGATATGGGATCCATACTGTCCAGTACAAYCCAAAAAGCTTCATTTTGAGCAGCTGGTATCTTCCCTTCTGTGTCTGCTTTCAAATAGAGCTAAATTCCACAGGTTATTGGTGAGATTTTCAAAAGCACTAGATTTCCCACTAGCTTCCCCCTTTCCTATAATGTTCACATCTTATCCCCTTCTACTCTGCTCTGYAGCTTTAGCAGGGGGTTACACAGGACAGCGTAACCTAGACAGCAAATACTAACACTTTTCTACAAGGAAACACTGAAGAGCCTCGTGTCCGTGGGCAGCCTTTGGGTCCCCACACTCACCTTGGCTTGTAGAGGCAGCACGAAAGCCTCTTGGTCCGCACTTTGTGTCCGTTGATGAAGATGCGCATCCTGGGATCAATGTAGAGCACGGCAGCGTAGGCACGGAAGGAGCGGCGCTCGGGCTTGCTGCGGGAGAGGAGCCCTCAGAAAGCAGGCCGCTGGCTCAGCGGCTCCTCCTGGGATCAGCAGCAGACCTACTTTCCCAGCTGGGGCCACACAGCCCAAAGTGACGACACCGGCTCATGCCTTGAGTCATCTCTCCTTCGAGACGTCACCTTCGCCTCCCACAGCCTGGATTCCTTCTCTCCTTTACTTCACCTTTTTTCCCCTTGCTCCTCTCCAACTAAAAGGGACCCTGATCTCTCCAAATCTGAAGAATGAGCTTCTCCACTTCCAAGACCTGCAAGAACCTCAGATCCCACCTGATCAGCACGGATACTCCCCTGCTCCAACACCTCTCACGCTGATCATCGCCGTCACGGCGCTTATTTCAGAGACCTATGGCAGGATTCACTTTGCTCAACTTTACATGTTACCATCTGAGCTTCCAGCATCATTAAAATCATTGGAAATCTGAAGATAGGTTAAGCAGCTACTTCAGATTTAGCACAGTTACAACGGTCAGCAAGAGTACTATGTAAAAGTTTGATTTTCATCACCACGTAGGCAGAATAAGCGTGGCTTTTCTTTCACTTCTTCACTTGCATCTTCCATAGAGATTTTTAAAGCTCTGTTTTGAATACAGCGACAAAATATTTCTATGCACCTATTACTGCAGCTTAAAAGGGATCTTTGGTTATAGCTGGATAATAAAAGCACACCCTGCCAAAGAGTGTGYTCAGGCTCTACCCTGGAGCACCCCACGCTAAAGCAGTGCCAGCATCCTGAGCAGCTGCAGGTAAGAGCGTGCTCCAACACTGCGCGGACCAAAGCCCGGCGCAGCAGGACCAGAGCAGGGAAAGGAGCTCGGCCTGGTTATCAAACAAAAACTAAACTTCAAGAAATGGAGAAGCTCATTTCATCCCCAAAGGTCCCCAAGGAGTTTGCTGCACCTTTGTACTCAATAACATCAAGCTACTAAGCTCAGTAATAACTAGTGTCGTGGGTCTGAACCTGCACTTCCGTAGGAAGGGAGCAATACAGTGAAAGAGCCCTTAACCTTACAAAAAATAGTAGGCCAAAGAGAGCTCTGGGATTTAATCAATCATCAGGTTGGTTTAGCCTAGTTTTTCCTTTTCTTTTTTTCCTCCCAGGCTGCAAGTGAACAAAGCTTCCAGAAGGCTCAGGCTGGAATTCCTCCCCGATGAGCTCAGCAAACAGCCGGCTCTGCCTGAACAGAGTCCCCTGCTCCTCRGGCTCCCCTCCGGGCACAACCTTCTGCCTCCTCCTGAAGGAGCGCACGGAGCTACCCGTATGTCCCAGAAGGACACAGGCTCCCATGGCTCTGCAAAATTAGTCCTGTAGCTTARGGCTCCCTTGTTTTCTAATAGCTAAAGAAGAGTATTTTGTTGSCTGCTTCGACTAGGCTGAGCCAAGTCAGTGCAAAAATTCCCACCAAGGGCACAACCAAAATGTCCGTGAGCTGTTTGTAACTATGAATTCAAAGGAAAAAAAAAATCACTCTTAAATTCTCCAACTCACACTCAAAGAAGTTTCTAAAAAACATAAGCAAAGAGGATGCAGCCAGCAAACCCTAAGTGTCATTTGATCCCAACACCCGTAACATCAGTTACACTCACGTTCCCTCTGGCGGCGTTTCTGCCATCTGGATATCCCGGGGGTCAGAAGTCACGTCCAGCTCTGGCTCTCCATTATCCATGAGCTTGAGGTTGAAGATGATCACCAGAGTGCCTGAGCAAGCAGAGAAGTTTCTCAGGTGAGCCCCATGCAACGGCTGAATCCCTTGCCCACGAGAAACACCACATATACGTTACCTTTCTCGCCATGGATCTTGTTAAACTGCTCCATCACTTCCTCCTCCGACTTGAAAGGGGAATATTTGTAAATGAGCTCGGTCTCGATGGCGAATTTCTCCATGTTGTCGGTCACAGGCTCTCGGTTCCGYGCGTCCCACGTGGGCAGGGGAACGATGACCTGCAGATCACATTGCACCGGGAGATTCAGCCTCGCCAACGTGACTCAGACACCTCTGTGGTTCAGGCCTAAGTGAATCTACTCTTTCTGCTGGCACCCCCGGGGATTGCGTGCATCTTTCCTGACTTTTCAGTGTTTTGCACGTCTAAAATACTCAAGGATCTTTCTTCTCCAACCTCCTGGCTACCCTTCTACAACATCTAGTCTTAGATAAACTCTGGCACTTTGGGGATCATCTTCAGTCTCAAGATGATGTTAGATACTAACACAAGGTAAGTTCAAAAGTTTTAGTATTAACCCTGCCTGCAAAATTCTCATRCTTAAGCACAAGAATACTTCCATGTTTCAAGTTAAGAGTTTGGATACACACAATGTTGGAAAAGAATAGACATGCAGGGAATTTCTGACCTACACGTAGTGACTTCAAACACCACCTTTRGCTCTAGTGAAATTCAAATCAAAACATTCAGGTCTTGAAAGGAAACTTGGTGGGAGAAGGAGAATGCAAGGAGGCTTGACACATCCCAAGCTCAGGATGAGGGAGAGCTCAAAATCAAAAGGCAAAAACCCCTCAGCACTKTGTGTACACCTACAAGTGTCCCCCACAGAGAAGGTTCTACATGCAAGACCGCAGTGGAAACCAACGTTGGCACATTCTTCTCAGAGAAGTTCAGACAAAGGAGTCTTCATCGTTTCATCACTGTAATTACAAAGGGCGTGCAAACCTCGTCAATGCCCTCCTCCTCGTGAAACGTCCGGGACAGGAAGAGGCAAGTCAAAGTGTTGTCCTTCTTCGTGAACAGGATAAAATCCTTCCCAATGCGCATGGAGCCCCTAGAAACAAATTTCACATTACGTCACAGCGGAGGCACGCTAGTTAGAGGGYGTTTTGGGGCTGGTTTCTATGAGTTACACTATGAGCAGTGAAGCATCCACGGTTTTCTCCCGTTACRTTCAGTTATGAAATATTAAAACCAAATGAGACAGAGGCAGCATCATTTGCCCTAAACAACTTGCTCCTTTCTAAATCCACACATTTTCATAGAGCAAGAGTTCTGTAAATTAATTCCCTAAACATTTAACACTATATATTGAAGGTAAAAGAACAAAGGAATAAAGGGTTGAACTATGAGAAAAATTCAAAAGAATTAATTTTTTAATCTAAAAAAAGACAACTACAGTGAGATAGGATAAGAGTCTTTCATTACAGGACTACAAAAACAAAGAAAACACTGCCACTGGCTTTGCATAGGCTTTCCTACCRCTGAAGAAATAAAGATGATGCTCACATAGTTATACCTATCAAACCACAATATCTAGCATCCCTTACAGGCTAGTAGCTCTTTACATGTAATTTAGATTTTATCTCCACGCGTTACCGTGGGGTGCAAGCAAAAGCACCTCCAAGCAGAACAGAAGCAGGGCAGCCAGGAGGTGCCCCGAGGGGGCTGGGGAGGCTGGCTCCGGTTATACCTACGATTTGAGGCCGTTGCCGTACTGCCCGATCTGCGTGGACTCCGGCGAGCGCTTGGCCGACCTGCCGAACTGGATGACGCTGGCAGCTTCACCTGTACAGAGGGCAGGAGGCAGCGTGAGCCGCGAGGCGCGCAACAGCCCCGCTCCCAGACACGCTTGGCCGGGGTTAGGAGCACAGAGAATCACAGAATCACAGAATATTCAAGGTTGGAAGGGGTCTCTAGAGACCATSTAGTCCAACCTTCCTGCTCCAGCAGGCACACCTACAGCATGTGACACAGGGTGGCATCCAGGCGGGTTTTGGAGACCTCCAGAGAAGGAGACTCCACAACCYCCCTGGGCAGCCTGTKCCAYTGCTCTGTCACCCTAACAGTAAAGAAGTTGCTCCTCACCTGGAGATGGAACCTCCTGGGTTTCAGCTTATGCCCATTWCCCCTYGTCCTATYGCTGGCCACCAGTGAAAACAGCTTGTCCCCTTCCTCCCTGCATTCTCCCTTCCTGAACTTTTACATGTTGATCATATTCCCTTTCAGCCTTCTCTTCTCCAGAGAAAACAGGCCCAGCTCACTCAGTCTCTCAAAGACACTGTGGAAGAGGCTGTTAGCTCAAGCCAAGCCCATCACGAAGCTCCATCATACGGCTCTGTAAAACCCACATTATTTAATGTGTTGGCAGAGGCTTGGCAGAGATGCCACCACGCTGACCGAAGGAGGTGGGTGATTTAGATGAGGTCGGTGCCTCRTTGGGGGCACAGAGAAACAGTTTCAGAGAAGGCTGAACAACATGACCTGTTGCATCCACCACAGCTATAACAGTGCTCAGAAACCAAGAACCAGAACCACCCCAGCTCCGATTCCACTGCTAACGCAATCGGTGTGAAAACATTTAATATCCAGCATTAAGGCAGTGATATAAAAAAGGGGCATGAAGGCAGGATAAACCAACCACCTTCTATCGTGGGGTTGAACTGAGTCCTGCAGGTAAGTAATGTCCTGGTAAAACAGAAGTGGCTTTAGCAGCAGGTTCCTGCAGTGCCGACAGCTGTGCAGGAAGGGTGCAAATGCAGCACTGCAGCAAGGGAATGGGGTATGTCCTTGGCAGGGGACAGGGGAGGACGGGGCAGCTGCGGGACCTGCCGCTCGGAGCCCCAGCCCTCCTGTTGTTTCAATCCCCCCGCTGCGGAGCTCGCCGTGAGGAACGGGATGCAATTCCCAAGGCGGGAACACCGAGTCCAAGGCTGGGAACATCGAGTCCTGCAGCAGGAACCTCCCTGCAGCCTGCAAGGCTCCAAGGACAATGCTGGCCCCAGAGGTATCCGCTGTGTGAGCGGCCCACAGGCTGCACCGGCGCTTACTGGGGTACACGGACCCCGCTGAGGGGCTGCTGCAGCGGTGTGTGCAGGTCTGRAGCATCCCTGCCCTGCGAGGGACCTCCCGGAGCTGCACTTCATCCTGGCCCTTCCCAGCCCCCTGGCATTTGCATGGGAAGCCACAAACTGCATTTAAAAGCAGCCTGCTAGCCCCACTCGCTACGTCCGTATGCAGGCATGGAATTAATCCGAGGAGGAACCTTTGCCTGCCTGGGAATACTTCTTTCCCCAACTTGGTCTCTCAGGACATCAGCCCACTGTGCTATTTTCAACACACCCAAAGCAAGTGTTTGAGTTTAGCTGGTGCTCCGGAGAGGATTTATTTTTATTATTGTGTGAGCTTAAGTCTGGTCAGAGAAGGGAACAGATTCCCATCAAGAGCCTGTCACTGTTGTCCTTTAGCRAAAGGGACCCTCCTTGGTGACCTCRCAAAAAGCTGCATCGACTGCTATTTAAAAAAAAAGCCCAGAGAAGCCTAAAAATGGAAAAGGGTGATTGTCCAAAGCATTTCCCTTCTCTCAAAGGTGAACATATGGTTTATCACTCAATGCTGGCAGCCCCAGGCCAGTCTAAAAACATTCTTTATTGACGCAGGGACATAAATGACCGCTGCAAGAATGGCCTAGAGAAGAACAAATGAGTTYTGCTGCACCAGGCTGTCTATCTTTGGGAGAGACTTAATCCTTAGCTACTCAGGAACCAAGGTACTTTTTTTTTTAAACAACTTTTTGTACTTTTTTCCCAAGGCTTTAGCAAGCTAAGGCTCCAGGAGGAGGCGRCCGCGCTGCCATGAACGGGCTATTTTAGCTGCACTGTTTTGGTTTTATCGCGTCTCACGGTTGCTAGACTTCAAAAACAAGTTCCCTGGCAACGGACCACGGTGTGATGTCATCCACAAAGAGAGGAGAAAACAGCAATTCCAAGGAATGCACTGAAGAGGGCAGATCCATCCCCAAAGCAGAAGGAGGGGCCTCAAGGGCTCAGATTAAAGAGAGGGATTCCTAAAAGGAGATGCCCAAGAGCCAGGGAGGAAGGTGGTGGACAGAGCTGCTCGTGTCCTGGCTGTCGCTCCTGGGGAGCGCCCACACTTCCAAGTCCTCCAGCTGACACGACAGCAAAGCAGGTATCAACGGGAGTCTGAAGAACCATGCTTAGCTTCATGAAGGGCTCTTCACCTTCTCTACCTCTCGTTTACGTCAGATTTGCATCGGAGAGACCRTCTGCAGTATAATTAACAGGCTCAAGAAGACCTCAGAGCCAAAATAGCTTATTTATGAAAATATAAGAATAAATAAACAAGGAAAGCCAGGCTGGGGAGAACCAACCTAAATCAAGACCATCTCAGATCCAGCTTCCCTTGGGACAGGGGAAACGGCGGGGAGAAGCTCAGAGATCTTTGGTACYGTAATAGACGCAGGAACAAACCCATTATTTTGGGGAAATGCATGAGAGTTGCACACAGATGAGCTTGGAACAAGTTCCCATGAAGACCAAGGGCCTCGTCTCTGCCCAGGCTGCCCTCAGCGTGGGCTTGAAGTGTTTCTAGAAGGAGCTTCCCTTGAGAGAGACTTGGGCACTGCCCTAGGAAGGTTCTCCCAAGAGCCACAGCCCGACTCAGCAGCGTGTGCACACTCGTAGACMACGCTCGAACCCCAGTAGTGTCTACACATGGCTTTTCACTGGGCAGGTAATATTTAATGGAATAAGAAAGCTAATAAAAGTAACCACGACATTAGTACTTAATTAGCTGCATTCACTAAAATGGAAGCTGCTTTTAAGCCACAGCTTAAGGCCACGGATTGGGAGAAAACACAAGTTACACCTTACGTGCTGCAATCCCTTAGGAAGGCAATTCAAGCTACAGCAATCGTCTTCAAACCACAACTGGCTTCTGAATCACTAAACTTGTGCAGTACCTTAAGAGCCCAAGCAGCAAGGAGAACTTCTCAAACCTAAGTGCCTTCAACGGGGACCACGCACAGAACGGGAAACGCTGATTTAACACGTGTGGCATGAGACCTATGCTGTGTGGTTTCCTGTTTGACTCATCCAGTCCCCYGTGGAAAAAAGCCGACTGTTTGGATGGGTGCTGCGGTTCCACGATTGCACTGTGGGATGCTATTTAAAGAGAAAAAAAGAATCTGCACCAAGGCATTACTGAACCTCTGGTCTGTTGCGAGCTCCCAACTCCGTACTACGGAGACAGAAAGGCTGGACTAGGAAGACTGCAGCCTGAACTCAAACGTGTTTCCAACTTTGGGTCACGATTTAATGAGTCAATGCTTCAAGCTCTAAATGTAGCTCTCCTGTATTTTGACATCGTACCTAATTTTCAGAAGTGCTCACTGTAGTGCTTGCCCTAGTGCTTTTCTGTGCCCTTTCCTGCCTTTATCAAGTGGCATGACCCAAATCAGGAAGTTCAGTGTGGACAAAGACCAGGATGACTGGGGAGCAACAAGGCAGGATGACATTCATAATCTGCTCCTGAAAGGACTCTTGTTATTTCGGTAGTCAGAGCTCAGAGATATCCAGATTTATTTACTTTTTATCCCAAAGGATGTCTCAGCCACGGGCCAGGCTGACTCAACTCCGAATGCAGTAAATTGATTYGTATTTTTTTTGGCTAGAGTAGTGTGTCACAGAGGAGATGATTAATTTTRTATATGATAAGGCCTAAAAGAGCCAGCATAAGAAGACAGGAACGTGCATCCCTCCTGGAACTTCCCCCTTTCAACAGGACCAAGTTATCAACTTGGCTCAAGCCAGAACGATGCTCCAGCTTGAAGAGGCCAACGTAGCCTCCGGTTACTCACTTGAATCCATTCCCGTTCCATCATCCAGGAAACACAGCATGAATCCACCTCGCAGATCCTCCCGTTGCTCTGCAAGAGACAGTCAACACTCCCACGTACAACGGCTAAAAGTCCCATAAAATGGGATCCAACCAAACAGCTTTTATAACTGGGGTAGCACGATAAACAGGACTTTTCCAAACCTAATATGGCCAAACTCCAATAACGAGCAGTTTTACTCAAATATCCCTGAACGCTAAAAAAAAAAAAAAAAAAAAGCACTAGATTATTATTACAGAATGACTAAGAATCTCTCCTGCACTTTATCTTGTAAATATATGCTACAAAGTGCACTGTAAAATCAAGCTTCTTTAACCCCCAGTATAAGCAACCATTCAGCTTGGCGTTCACCTGGCCTCAGCCTAAGACTGAGGTGACTTTTTGCAGTATCGTGCTCAAGTTGTGCAGAAAAGCCACCTTTGGAAGGCAGCCCATTGCAGCACAGGACACACCAACAAAGCAAWGTCTCATCCTACTGGGTGGCTATTGCATCCTAAAGCTGAGTTGTAACTATGGACTGAAAGCAGGTGTGTAAAGGAACAGCAAGAGTGACTTACCTGTATAAATGTCTATTCTTGTGGCATCTGCATCTCTACAAAGTAATAAAAACCACTGTCAGCATTCAAACTTCAAAGGAAGGGAAGCCAAAAGGCAGCCACAGGTAAGCCAGACTTTCCAGGAGGAATTTACACACATATGAAGCTCCACGAGGGCCCTGGCAGTCAGCACTAGCAGACACGGTACAAGACAACTCACTATTTCACAACGGAGTTCGGATGCAAACGCACAAACACTGGAACACTGCTGCTGTGCACAGAATTAACATGAGCTACAGTGACCATCACTGGCGCTTTAGCAAAGGTTATACTGAGAAAAAAAGGGCAAATTTACTGACATATCTACTAACCTTCCTTAAGGAAACAATGTCTTCATTTTTTCCATCAAGATGGATGGAGAAGTTCAGAAGCTCCTGCCTAAAGCCCCATCTGAGCACACTGAAGATGGCCATAGGAAACCAAGCCCTTAAGAGGCGTGTGAACWGAGGGCCTTCCCACGCTCTGCACCCTGGCCCTGTCTGAAAGGCAGCCCACGGGGCACGTTCATCCCCTTCCTCACAGCCAGCCCATGGGGCACAGCCCACACCAACACGGCTCCTTCCTTCGCTGGGCTGCCGTTTCATTCCAGTGAAGCACCAAACTCCACGACGTGCAGTGGCCTTGACTCCAGGCTGGTTTGTTTGGAAATAATTCATCTAAACACTTCCCCAGATAACTTTGGTTCCATCTCCTTTATCATCATTCCTCAATAAAAAGGTGAGCTCATTATTTCCATAAGATCAAACCAGAGTATTAGTTTGTCAAGGGAAAAATCTGCAGCTCTAACCTGAAACCTGCGGTGCAACGTTAGGAATTCGGCATAAACCCCACGGCTTCCAAGCGTGCCCTCGAGTGCTCTACATATTCCTGCACTCATTTTCGACACCCTGCCTCTGATTTTCGTTTCATCCTATCACCATCCTTGATACGGAGATCTTTAATTTCCAACTCCAGTAATGACCATTTTACCAAATCTCCAAAAAAGTAAAATTAGACTTGTACTTAAATTCATTTCATGCCTCCTAACCATCACTGCTCCAAACTGGATTTCAAGCTGAATTATTCCACGATTTGTTCAAACTTGAATTGTCACCAATCACGGGGCTGGGTGTTGCAAGAGGACGAGCTGAAGCTGTCATACCCAAACACAACGTGCTTTTCTCTCAGTTATTCTATTTTTCCTAGAGCCTCCTGGAAGAGCCGGTTGCCGGAGCGGCTCCCCCGGGCCGGCACCTACCTGGCGTTATCGACGAGCTCGGCAAGGGCCCCGAACAGGAACTCGTGGGTAGTCCTGCAACAAAGCACAGAGCCAGCCAGGTCACCCCCATGCCGAGAGCGCCTTTCCCRAAGCAGCAGCCTCAGACGCTTTTAGAGAGCATTCCCTTCTATCCATGTGCAGAGCACGGCCACCCCTGCACGAGGCTGCTCCGCTTTGCTGCTCCCGGGAGTGCAGCCGGAGCGGAAAGGCCGCCCGGTGCTCAGTCTGATTCGGCCAAGCTGCTGCCCCAAGGGAATCACCCTGTGCTCAACAAGGGCCTCATTAAGAGCTATCAAGAAGATTGTGGAGCAGAAGCCTGTGAGTGAGTCAGCAGCTCCCGCAGAACCCAGCGAGGGGTCGGTGGGCAGCCTGGTGACACCGGCGCGGGGCAGCTCCGACACCCCCGTCACCAGCGCCGCTCCTCACGCCCCCCAAGCTGCGAGAGGCTCCCAGCAGCCACGCACATTCCCAAGCCCCGGGAGCTGGGAGCCCCAGGAGCTCCCTGCGAGCACCACACACCATCCAGCCCGCGCGAGGCCRCGCTCCTCAGCCCCGCTTAACCACAGGCTCCAGAACTGCGGTTAGTCCCCAGTCTCACAAGTGGCYTTTTGCTGAGCACTAACGTTAGGTGTGTGCCCTAACCCTGGAAGGAGGCGCACGGCACGGACATCAGGAAGGGCTGCTGAAACGCTCTGATGGAGACTCCACCACTCCGACCATCCCCACGTCAACTGCAGCTACAGGARCTCAGACGTGGCTGTTCCACCAAGTCCAGTAATTTGATCAACTGGGATATATAAATGGCATTTGCTGCTCCTCCAGGACACTCGAGCAGGACGCTGGATRCTCAGAAGTTGATGATTTATCTCCCTGGTTGAGCTGGTGTGAAACCTCCTCCAGTAAATCCTGCTTCGCTGCTGCTCACGAAGGGGCCTGCACTTGACTGGCAAGCCRTCCAGTTCAGAGTTCCAGCTTGAGGAGAACAGACACGAAGGTGCTTCCCGTGTCCGAGACACACGGCTGCCCACAGCGCCCGTAACCGCCACGCGAACACTCACATCCACCTTCCCCGTCRGCAGTCCTGCGTGGGTGACGCAGCTCTCAGCAGAAACGCAGCAGTCCAATGTCAAAGATACCCCCGCATCCACAAACAGGAGCCTTTCTCTGCGAGCTGCCGCTTGCCAACACAGCAGAGACAAGCGACTGAGGGCAGATGCTGCTTGGAAGAGCATCTTCCCCATGAGAAGAGCCACCAACACGCTCCCAGAAGCTCCAGCTGCTGTTCCTGCATTCCTGCACATCTTCCTGGGCATGGATCTCAAGTGCTAGCTCAGGAGCACCTACTCAGCTCCGTAATTCAGCATCCCTGAAGGTTATTTAGGAAGCAACCCCTGCCAGAAAAAGCCACAAGCTTTTTCAGCACTGAATGTTTCAGCACTAACAACTGAGCTTCGTTAACAACTAACTTGCATCATCAGCAATTTAAGGAATGCTTCAAATTAAGGGAAAGATGCAAATAAGCTGCAGAGAGAAGYGTCTACGAAAAGAGACTGGAACAAAAAAGTTTCCCCCTGGAGGGGCACCCCACTCAGCCTGAGCAGCTCTCAAACCCGGAACCCCTCGTGCTGACACAGGCCAAGACCTTGCCAAAAATGAGCGAAACCGAGGCCAGCTATTTGCCACTGCTGGATTTAAATACACGCCACATACACCACATAAAATACACCATCCTCAACACCTGACCTAGAGGGTCCCAAATTACCTAGTAAACATCCAAGCAGAGGTCGCACGTAGCAGTTGGCACGAGCTAATGCGTTCATCCATGAGCAAATCCAGGCTGTCACCTTCGTACCCATCAGAGGTGGCCGAAACACTTCGCACGCACCGCGATCAGCACCCCTCGACCTGCCGAGAAAGGCCTGGGTTTAACTTCCACACCAGGCAGCTCTTAAAGCACGAGCGAAGGCCTGGGTTTAACTTCCACACCAGGCAGCCCTCAAAGCAGGAGCGGAGCTGCCGGCAAAGCAGAGCGCACCGGCGCTGGCACAAAGCCTGGGGACTCTTCGCTGGAGCCAGACTGGCACCCAGGGCAGCGGGAGCCCCTGGACAGACCGTGCCGATCGTGTCGCTGCTGTAGCGGAACAGGCGGCGGGGAAATGGAAAGRGTGTCAGAAACGCACGGTGTTGGTGACAGCTCCTCTTGGCAGGCAGGACAGGCCTGGGCGTTCCTCCCATCTCCATCTTCCACCGAGACAGCTCTGTGCCACAGTCCCAGCTCAGCATGRAGCAGCAGATCCCGCACATGCTCGAACTGCAGCTGTGAGAGCCCGGCTGGAGGCATCCGGAGAACACGGAGCGTTTCCACAAGCCCCGGGGGTGGCACCATTCCCTGGTCCCAAGCAGCTCATTTTGGGAGCGCTTCCTAGAGGATCGCCCTCTGCCCGAGCCCTGCTGGGCTCCTAACCCTGCACAGTCAGACGAGTACCTAATTACTGATGAAAGACATAGGGCTTCATTTTCCTTCTGGAAGAGGGAAAATCTGGCAAAATAATTAAGCTGGGAGCTCGGCAGCCACGTCAGACACAAGCGCTCTTCTCTTGTGGTTGTACTTTGACTTCTCAGGCCAGGTCAGAAAACATCCACAGGAGAGAGAGCAGAGTCTGGGCCAGCATCGCGGGCCAGGAGTTTTTTTTCTTCTTCATCATCATCATCATCATCATCATCATCATCATCATCGCTGTTTCCAGGGTCGCTGCTGAGCTACTCGAGTCTCTCGCCGTTTAAATGAACTACTTCTGTGCCAGCTGGGTGCATCGGGACAATCCCAACAGCAACAAGAACACGAAGTTCCAGCACAACCTCACTCCTCCCTAGGCACCCCCGTGAAAACTGTATCAGATGTTCAAGTTCTCATATGTACCTTTAATTATATCTTAAATATACCTCAAAAAAGTGTCAGTTGGGACCAGAGACACTGTACTAGTCTCAATAAATGACTTTTCTGAAGTGTTTTTAAAGTAGCAGCATTCCATTTTCTTAAGGAAAACAGCCAGCCTCCATGCAGGCAGCTTTGAGAAGCTCCCATAGGAACAGACCGGTAACCTCCCTGTGCTTACACATGGATTTCTTTACTGTAGGAGCTAAAGGGACCTTCACAGCTCAACTATTCCACGTTTCAAAGGAGCATTTGGATGAACATCTGTGGTATTAAAGAAAAAAAAAGGAGAAAAAAAAGAATAGGTAATGGAAGTTGTCTAGGCAAACGTACTTCTATGCCTAGTGGCAGATTTGAGATCTAAGCTACCCTAAAAACCAGCTGCAAGTCCTGAAGCGCAGGGACCGCGTAAACAGCCTTCTGGAAACCACTCTGGATTTCAGTCAGTGCCCAACATTTTCCAGCTGCTCTTTGCTTTGAGAGGGCCTAAAAGCGGAGCRCGGGCAGGGCTCCCTCGCACGGCTGCGGGGTTCCGGCTGCAGGTCGGAGCTTCGGCTCCTCGGCCACGAGGACACCTTCAGCACCAGAGCCCGCCCGAGGCGGCTGTGCTCCCGGGAATGCSACGGGGGAAGAACGCCGCTGACCAGGCAGCTCCGTGGCCAGCAACCCTGCACGGGGCTGTTTCTCCTCGCTGTCACACCAACTTTTTAAGCGTGTTTCCATTGCTTCCACTCCTCCCATCGCTGTTCTTCCCAGGGAAACTTCSGCAGCGATCCCTGTAACGTCACTCTTTGCTCCCAGCGGATCCAAAGTCGCGGTCCTGGCGCATCCCGACTCCTGCTGCTCTTCAGTCCTTCCTCACAGGCTTGCGGTGCCGCGGCGCTCGGCTGCGCCCCCGGCACGGGCTGCCCGGCGGGAAGGGGCAGCGCGAGGCGATGCCAGCGCTCGGGGAGGCGGCTTTGGCTGTCGCAGAGCGCGGGGCTCGCGGCACAGCCCTCGGTGCTGTCTCCCGAGCTCCGCAGGGCGCAGGAGCTGCTGACAGCGTCACCACGCAGTTGTCTTCCCAATCCACAAGAGCCCCCGCAGAGCAAGGGAGGCAGCGGCAGCGACTCCGCGTTCCCGTTCCTTCAGGCTCCGGGAGCGAGGCGACAGGCCGAGCCGGGACGCGAAGGCCCCGGCCCACAGGCCCACGGTGACACCGGGACGTCGTCGTCGTCGTTCCCTGTGCACGACGGGACGCAGCTGGAGCGCCGGGAGCCGCGCGGCCGCCGCGCTCCCCGGCCCCAGGCCGGGCGCTCCGCTCCTCCATCCGGGACACAGGCAGGAGTCTCTTCCACAGGGATTCAGGAGTGTCCCGAGGCAGGCGCTGGTGTCCGTTGGCGGCGGGGAGGAAACGTGGCCGTGGGCGGCACCGGGCCGCGCTCCGCGGGACCCGCTGCACCCAGGCCCGGGGCTCGGCCCGCTCCGAGCGGGCCCGGCTGCGGGTCCCC